GTCGGCGCTGGTTGTGAGGGCGCTGCTCAGCTTGGGACGCTGCTTGGCTTGGGATCGGTCGTGTGGTTGCGCGCTGAGTGCTTACTGCCGGCGGCAACCATTGTGTAAAAGTGTGACCCCAAGAAGTGAGTTCTGGCACCTTTTTTTTTTTTAACCAAAAAAGCACTGTGTAATACTAATACCAAGGTGGAGATGAAGCTGAGGCGCATTCACTGAGTCATCTTCAGCAGAACTGGCAGTCATGCCAGCAACAATACCCAGAGTCATTAGCTGCTGGGGACAGAATATTCTAGCCACTTCCCAACAGTTGGATTGTAACTGGAATCCTACATGTAACCAGATCGTAATCTATTCATGATGCAGAAATTAGGCCCACGTCATTTACTTCTGATCTTCTCAACTGGTCCAGTTCAGAATGCCGGAATTGAGAGCATGATCTTCTAGATATGTGGGGTAGATAGAAAGGAATGAAACTGCATACTCCATATATTTCTAAAACAAAAGTGCATAGTAATTGCTTGATAATTGTTCAAACAGGATTATTAACAACTAAATAGATCCTTTGTGTTTATCTATTTATGTACAGATATATAGCAAGGTGTTTCCTATTTTAGAAAATTCTCAGTGATTATTGCTGTTACAAATACTTCGTTGCTTTATCTGTCATTATAGTTAGTTTCAAGGAGAGGTATTGCCCACATGGAATTAAAAGCAGAACTTCTCTCGCATCCACAGAACTTCTTCCAGTTTCTTCCCTTTTAAAATGTTTTGCTCTTTTCAAGAGTTCGCATCATTTTCCTGAAAAAGGTGTCAGAATATGTTCTTGTGTGTGTCTCTGAGACTGTGTGAGTGTTTTTAATAGTGGAATATATTTTTTATTTCTTGTCAAGATCTATGGCTTGCAATGACATGCTCCAGTTGTTTTCTTTTAAAAATGAATTTCTAATTATAACGGAAATTGCACGCCCTGATGAATAAGCAGGAAGAAATGACTCGCCTTGTTTTTAAGCATCGCTTATGTGGAAGCTAAAAAGATAACTCTTTGGCTTGTATTAAAGCTATTTTGCTCTCAGTGCTGGCCTTTTGGACATGTACATCTTTTTCCCCATTCTTACCAAAACATATTTATTTATTATACTTTAATTTATATGTCAGCTACTACTGTAGCCTCAACTTTTCCCTGCAACATGAACCCTGCGAGGAGGTCGGCTGGGCTGAGAGTCTGTGACTGGCCCAAAGTCACCCATTTCACTCCATGGCTGAACAGGGACTAGAACCCGGATCGCCTGAGTCCTGGTCCCACCTTCAACCGCATTGGCTCTCTATAGTAAAAATAACTTTTATTTTAAAAAAATAAACATGAAGGGAAATACTGTAGGCCTTTTTCCTGTCTGAATATGGCACCCTTGGTTGTTCTCCCCATACTTAAGATGGTCTCATTAGTTAATTCTTTAGCTGGTAAGACCATAGTGACAAGCCTAACTTGTGTGCTATGGAGTTTTAGTCCTAATGTGATAGCTTTTTCATCTTCTGTATTGAGGCCTCTTTGTTAATCTCCCACACCCCAAATTATGGTTCCCTAGGGAAAAGGGGTGATGGTTAAATCAGCTGAGGTGTGTCCTGTTTTTATTCTCCCTGCTTCAGTCTTAGATTAATTATTCTTCCCAGCCTACCTGAGTGATGGATTGACTATTAAGATGGAGGAAACGGGGAAAATGACACATTTGTTTGCATTCTGGTGTGTTTTCTCACCCTCTGCTGCATGGACCACAATGCGGCACCTAAACAGGAAAGGCCACGGCACATGGTGTTCTCTTTGGTAGGAATTCGGGTAGTTTTCCTACAAGGACGAAAACTCGCAAAAGAGAGTGCTCTTCGTTCCCCTGACACCAGGCTGAAAGTAAATAAACAGCAAATGGGCACAAGTTCAAAACAGAGATATAAAAAGGAAAGAGGTGGAATTTTTTAGTTAACTTTCAGGTGAATTGGCTAAGAATTATCTACAGGGCTAAATGTTTTGTTTGTTGAATACACAGCTGTTAATCATCTGTTTTGCAGTCCTTTGCCAACCTAGAATGCCCTGGTTTTAACAGTGCCCATCTGTAGCACATGGATGCAGGTTTAGTCCTACAACTCCCAGTGTGTCCTGGCCGGCCATCCTGTCTGGAGAATGCCTGGAGTTGCAGAATTTTTTTCAGTCCACACATATGATATATCCTGAAGCTCTAACCAGGTATCTAAGTTTCAGTTGTCAGTCAAGGCAAAGAATCTTGTTTGTAAATACATTTTTCAGCTCCCTGTAGCTTGGGGAAATTTCATGAGGACAGTACAAGGAATACGTAAGGAACTGCACAGGTATGGGTATAGAAAAAACTGGGTGCTGAGGAAAGAAAAGACTTTGCGTTTGTTCTATGCTAGTTCTGCTTTTCCACCAAAATAAATTGCAAAGCAGCTGAGTCTGCCACATGAGGCAGCCCATTCCACAGATACTTCCTCCATTTTTTTACACATATCTTTGCAGTCAAGAGGACTAGAAACATTGATTTCAGAAACAGCAACTGTGTAGCTTTTCCTCCAAATTTGAGATATCTGGGGACTAAACTATTTATTTATTTAAAGCTTTTCTATACCATCCGACCACAACAGTCTCGAGATGGGCTTACAATAAAACAGATTAAAGTAAAGCATAGCATCTAATACATCCAATAAATAAAGCCCCCATTAAAACCTAATCCACCTTAAAATAATGGGTGACTAAAAAGGTTTTAGCTTGGCACCAAAAGGATTGCACCGAATTACTTGCATCCTTGTGTGGCTTGTTCCAGGACTTCAGCTGGCACCCTAAACTGACATCCCTGTACAATGCAGATGGTGAAGAAAGGCAGAGAAATTAAGAAATTACCTCCAGTAGCTGCTTTGGCACAATGTGTCCCCATTCCCCCTTAATGAAGATGAAGGCCTTAAAATGCTGTTCGCTGGGTGAGGTAGAAAAAGGCAGCCAAGAGCGGCATTCCATGCATCCCTGCCTCAGGGTTCTCTGCCCAGCGTCGCTTGTCAGCTACCACCTGCAGGGAAAACGCACAACTGGAACATTCTTGTCACCCTGCGCATGCCACGCATTTTGGCACTTTCGCATAACATCCAAGATGACCCCGCGCATTCTGTATGTTTGTGAAGAGAGCCTTGTGGTCCTTCTAGCAAACCCTTTCAACAGAAGTAGCTCTTGTAAATGATTTCTCATTATTTCTCATCCAGTTGAGTAAGGACGCCTTTCCTCTCTATTTGGCAGTGTTTCTGGGGGACAGCACTGGGGGGGTGCCCCCTTTATTGTCTCAGCAGAAGCCCTGCATTTATCTGCGCAGTTTCCCATAGGGTGAAGTGCAACAACATAGAAACTCCTTTGTTTTTAAGTCCAGTATGTAAAGAAAAGAGCTGAATGACAATGCAGCAAACTTGAATTAGCTCATTTATACTTGGGAATTAGACTGCGACTGGATAAATTGTTTTGTCATTCTCCCCAGGGGAAGAGTTTCACATCTCATAAAGAGAAAATAGTCTGAGCTCCACCAAATTTGGCTTCAAAGCCTTTTCGAAATGCTGCAAGGGACAGTCAGCCGAGTTACAGGTTTCTGGTTGTCTCAGGGAATCTTGCTTCCCCGGTCCATGTGCAGGAAGGTGTGTTGCAACATCCACAGCCAAAATGTGTTCTTTTGTGGCAAAAGATGGCTGCATTTATGAGGGAGTACTTGTGTCTCAAATTCTGAAGAGGCCAGGGAGTAAAAATGACCCATCTCAGGCTTGCAGGTAATAACCATCATAAGATAAAGAGTGTCCCGTATTCCATTCTGCTCCCAATTAAAAAAACTCCTTTGCATATTTACTGCCATGCAGTAAAAGAAGTCCAGAGTTGCAACTGAGTGTAATAATTTGATATAGAGAGTTGCTATGTGTTTCGTGAAGTCCTTTTAATTTAAGGAATGTCTACAGTGCTCTTTGGAGAGTACTACCTCTCGAACGGTTAACAAGATTTAAAACCTGAACCAAACACCCACACATGAGAGTAGCAGTAGGAAAAAGCAAGGCAGCCAGAGACAAATCATATAAAATGGAGGTATCTAAAAAGCCTGGGCAAATAAGAAGTTTTTAATGGCAAAAACAGCCAGTTCCATGTCACAGAGCCTGGATTCGGGGTAGTTCCAGAACAGGAAAGCCATGTGTGACCTCCAGAGGTTTTGTGTTAGTACACACCAAACCTGGAAAATACCAGAGGCTGTCCTTGATGGGCCCAGCCTGTTTTTTAGAATTATGACATCGCCCCTCCTCCCTCCCATTACACAGAACGCTTTGTCAAGCAGCGTGGAAAGTGGGAAGCTTTTCCAGCCATGCCCCCCTCAGCAAAGCTGGTTAGAGAATGGTCCTTTTCTTCAGGAAGTGGGGTGACAGTAGCGACCTAGTCACTAATCCTGGTCTCCTTTTACTGTGTGAAATATCCAGCTGCGGTTACATGCCGGATTGTGGGTGCAGGTGCCAAAATGCCACTGTGTGAGGTTTAGAAATGTTGCAGTCTTTGCCCCATGGCCCATGGAGGATCATCCAGTCCCCCCACACAGTCTTCATATGCTGAAGCCAGAGATGAGTTTATGTGAGGCACTATTAAAAACAATAACATTTGTATTCTCTTTAGGTGAAACTCTAGTCACCATTTTCTGAGCAACGTAGTGGTTTGTTTTTGAACTTCCTGCAGTGTGAAAGCTTTCCGAGTTGAACTTGATCCATTAAAGACTATTGCTAGGGTCTGTTCTAATCTTTTTAACATGGTGATAGAGGGGATTGGTACCTGGTTAGGAGCGCTGGGGGAATTTCTTTCTGGTGGGCTCTTCCCCTTGAGAAGCTCTGGCAATTCGCCTGCCGTCCGCCAACACGCGCCTCTCGGAGTTGACCTTTGCCAAGATGGTGGTGGACGTCCATAACCGTTCTGCTTCTTCCTGTTGCTGCTTCAGGGTAGCCACTGACCACAACGTGGACAACACAACAGCCATCCTGAAAGAGTGGCTGAAGAATGTGCAGAAGCTGTATCACTACGTGGAATGGAGGCCCATGGACAATCCTCCGTGAGTATGGGGCCCTGGGCCTTCCCCGTCAGATTAAGCGACCCAGTGGGATGCCAGCGTAGTGCACTTAAGCGTTGAACGCCCCCATGCAACGAGGCAGTTTGGGTAGCGGGGGCCATTCAGCTGCCCCGTGCTCGGACGGAAATCGACCTGAAGACACTCCACACAGAGCTGCCTCCCAAACTGGTGGCCCTCGTCAAGTTGTCCTTCATATCCCCTTGGATGTAGCCATGATGTTTTTCCAGCCCTGCTGTCCTTGCCTGCTGTCTCGCTCACACCCTTTGGGCTCCCTCCACAGAGCAGCTGTTTCTAAAATGAATTATGTGTACTGCCTGCTTCCATTCTGCCCGGGGAGCCTTGTGGCTAATGCGGCTGGCTAAAAATCTAATGAAGAAATACAAATAAATAAGAAACCACTTGAGCAGGTGTGCAGTTCGGCAGGTTAGAATTTCATTCCAGATTCTTGAATGGCTGCGGAACACACCATTCTTTCAAAATGCTGAGCGGGTTGTCGAAACGGGGCAGGATCTTTGGTTGTAGCGACTTGTAGGGCTTGCCACCCTGGGCTTTCCTGGCCCCGGAAAAGTGGTACCAAGAACAAAAGCAATGAGGCACCCTGGCTGGGTGAGCCCCTACATAGCAGAAATCCGTGTGATGTTTTTAAATGAACTTTATTATTATTATTATTATTATTATTATTATTATTATTATTATTATTATTACATTTTTATACTGCCCATAGCCAAAGCTCTCTAGGCAGTTGACAGCAATAATCTTAGAATCATACACTCAAGTCACTTCTGCCCGGGCCTGACCCTGCTTAGCTTCCAAGATTAGGCAGGATCAGGCACTTCAGGCATGGAACTTGCCGATTTACAGGTAGTAGTTGTGGTGGAACTGAGCTAAAATGCTTTGTGTGCATCTCTACCTAGAAGTTAGCAGTGAATATTCATATATGATGGTAGTCCAAGTGTCTTTTAGGCCTTGCTGCATTTGTACCAAAAGGGGCCGGAAGTTATGGGATCAAACTTTGGAGTTGCTCCAAACTCTTTCATAGGCAACTGGAAGAGTTTTAATGGCAAATACAAAGCTTGATAAACTTGTTTAAGGATAGGCGTCTTTTCCATTTGTGCCAACCTGACAAACACTCATTTGGACTGATGTAATTGTCTGGAATTACTTGTGCGTGGAGTCCATGCCAAATGGCTGTGATGCAAGGTCTAAACTGCAAATACAATGTCTTCTTCTTCTTCTTCTTCATCTCCGCACATTTACTGTGAACTAAGCTCCACTCAACACGTTTCTGACTAAATGGGAATACAGTGATCACAGCATGTTCCACTGAGTCCCGAGGACGTGCTCCAGGAATTAATTTGCAAATGTTTGCTTTGCTTAGAAGCTTCATATTTTCTGCACCTGCCTTTCTGGGGTACTTGAGATAACTAAATGTATTGGCATCCCACTCCTTGGTGCCCCTTTATATTAAAAAAATACTGACGACAGATATAAAATGATTTTGAGTGTTTCTGCAGGAACACAGCAAGAAGAGGGTAATTTCTCCCCTTGCCTTTTTGTTGCTCATTTTATAGGTCTTATCCTGAGGAAATCGGACCCAAACACTGGCCAAACTCGAGGTTCACCCATGTAATGAAGCTGAGACAGGCTGCTCTGAGGACTGCCAGAGAAAAGTGGTCAGACTACATCATGGTAAAGTGCAAAAAGAAGAGTTCTGGTTGGCTAGGATTTCTTTCTTTCTCTTGCTTTCCTCACTGGACATTTTGAAGAATCATTCTGTGTCTGCGTGCGTAAAGGAGATTGGTGGAATGAATTCCATCCTCTTGTGCCACGTAACTGTGTCTGTGCAGATCTCCCGTGTCTGTGCTGATCTTCACCTTTGGGAACTGAAAGGTTCTTCCCAGCAATTGTTGACTGCACAACTCTTGCCACCTGCGTGTGTCAGTGAGGCAGCGCCTTCCTAGTGCTCAGAAAGGGAAGTGATTCCTACTTAGCCTGGTCCCCTGACCTGGTTTCCTGCACACCTCCCTCTCCAAGGCACTGGTGAAGAAGCCAGAGCTGGCTTAGCCACCCAAAACCAGAGCGTTGTGTGGCCTCATCCACGCATAACAAAATCTGCAGAAACCATACTTTGGTGGCCCATCTGGAAGGCCCAAGAAGGAGTTACTCTAGTGCAGAGTTGGAGACTTCATGGCCCCATCAAGTCCAGATAGCAGAGCTAATGGTCAAGGATTATGGGAGCAGCTGGGCACCCCGTGTTCCCTTTCCTGCCCCAAAGCGGGCACAGACATGCTGCAAAGTACGATTCTGATTCGCATTGGCCCCCCTTTTCCCCACTGATTGGAAGAGGCACGCCACTGCCGGAATGCTGCAGCACCTTCGCTGGGAGCCCTTTTATCCAGTTGTGCAGCGGTGCACTGGGATGGGCCACTGTGGAGGGAACTGGGTGGTTTTCCTTTTCGGGTGCATTTCTTAGAGCTACTGCAGCTGCTCCAGGCAAGCTCCCAGCTGATGACCCCGGGACCAGGTGGAGCTGTAGCCCAAGTCAGGGCCCTTGTCCTCCGTTGGCTCCGACTTGGACCGCTTGGCTGGGCACGCTGTAGAGCGAGCTGGAAGTGCCTGCTCTTGTTTACGCGATGATCGCATCCAGAGGCCTCTTTCCAACCCGGCGGTAAACGCTCAGCTCTGTAGCATCACTTGTTAGCATGTGCAAACAAGGCCACAGTCTTTACCGTGTTTGTTGTTGACTCTGGTACAATGTCCATTCAGGTTAAGCTTAGCACGGAGGACTTTCGCCTAGATGTTGTTCACCTATTTGCAAGATTGCAAGAGCTCCCAATGGGTATCACTCTTATGGGCCATTTGGACTCCACTCTTCTGCAGATCCAGTTGGCCAGATTCATCCATGCTTCTTTTTAAATGTCCCTCTTTCTAGTTCATAGATGCCGACAATTTCCTGACAAACCCAGAAGTGCTGAACCTGATGATGGCAGAGAATAAGACCATTGTGGCACCGATGCTTGAATCCCGCACTCTGTATTCTAACTTCTGGTGTGGAATGACACCCCAGGCAAGTTCGGCTTCTGCGTTCCTCAGTCATGCAGCAGCATCTGGCTGTGTGCCTCTTTCTACTGCAGTGTGTAAATTTATTTATTTATATTGCAATTTATATCCTGCCTTTTTCCCACAAAGGGCTCAAGGCAGCTTACATCTCCTCCTCCATCTTATCCCCACAACAGCAACCCTGTGAGGTAGGTTGGGCTGAGAGTCTGTGACTGGCCCAGAGTCACCCAGGTGGCTCCATGGCCGAGCGGGGACTCGAACCCAGGTCGTCTGAGTCCCAGTCCCATGCTCTGAACCACTACGCCACACTGGCTCTCACACTGGTAAATATGGACAGAGCCTTTCTCCAAGCCAAGTGGCAATTCTGCAGTGCCGCCGGAAGCCCCGGGGAGCACATAAAAATAAAATGCTTTGCTGCACTGCTGCTCTTTGCCACAGCAGCCTGGGCTGCCTTGGTGTTCACCCCGTGCCTTAACCACCAGTTGCGCCTTGCTCCAAGACCTGCCTGCCTGCTGACCCAGCTGCCTCCTGCCCAGCTCCAGCCTTTCCTGCATCCTTCCTTCTCCTGGAATACTGCGTCCAGTTCTGGGCACCAAGATGTAGAAAGATGCAGGTAAATTAGAAAGGGTCCAGCGGAGGGCAGCAAAAATGATCCAGGGTTTGGAAACACTGCCCTGTGAGGAGAGATGGAGAGAATCGGGCATGTTCAGCCTTGAGAAGAGAAGAGGGGGGGGGGGGGGGGACATGATATCCCTCTAGAAGTACCTCAAAGGTTGTCTCAAAGAGGGAGGTCAAGATCTCTTCTCACTGATACCACAGTGTAGGACAGAATAATCAACTCAAGTTGTGACAACCCAGATCAGGAAAAGCTTCCTCTCTGTCAGAGCAATACGACAGTGGGACCAGCTGCCTGGAGAGGTGGGGGGCTCTTCCACACTGGAGACATTCAAGGGGAAACTGGACAGCCACCTGAGTGGGATGGTGTGACATGGTGTCCTGCAACAGCAGGGGGTGGACTGGATGGCCTTCATGGCCCCTTCCGACTCTCCTATTCTGTGATTCTATGTTTCTCCAGCCTGCCCCTGCCTTATCAGTCCTCTCTGCATCCATCACATGTTCTCCATCACATTTATTGTGTCATGCAGATAGAGAACTCTGGCTCATCTCTCCAGATGAACCACAATCAGAACCATGGGCTGTGAAGACTGCAGCTTGTCTAGAAAGGGGCAAGCCAAGGTTTGGGATTCTGATGTGGCAAAAAACAAACCTTGGACAGAAGCGCCACAGTTTGTTTGGTCATTCCCAGAAGCCAAGCAGGGTTAGCTGAGCATCATGTACCAGCAGGCCGTCTTGCTGGCAGCAAGGATTTGGATTTGGGGTAAAGTTTGCATTTCCTTATAAGGGAGTTTTTCCCACCCTGATGTGCTTTGCACTGATCTCAGAAAAACAGGGAGGTGTTAGGGGCCAAGGCCCCCTCGCAATGATTTGTTAAGGACATTTTAGCCAATGAAGGAAAGATGTCTCTAAAGGGAATTACATCTTGCAGACTCCTCTGTTTGGATGATACTAATTCTGTTCCTCTACAACTCCTCCTGCTTTTGCATCGCACTCCCGGCCCGCTCTGCTCTTCACAGCTCTGCCCTTCAGGGGAATCGGTGTGCAGCTGAGACAGAGCTCTTGCAGCCATTCTCTTGACCGATCAGTTCCCCACAAGTCTGTGCAGCTCAGCGTGAGCTTCTTCAGTTGGCTTTGCTTGCAGACATCCCTGAAATCGTATTTTGGACAAGCAGGAACAGCTCCCTGGTAGCCAGGAAAGTGAGGAAAACAAAGAGTGTGCACAGCGCCTTCCCGGTCAGAAAGCTCTAATTCAGCTCAGGGACTCGCATGACTCAGTGTCTGGAAAGCGCCTCCAACCTGCTTCTGTCAGCGTCATGCTGTTCTCACTTTGTGGCCATGAGATGGAAAGTTGTGTTTTTTCAGCGTGGATTCCTAGGCAATTGTTTCCATCACTGAAAGTGCCGGTAACATAGTCTGTATGAAAATATTTGGCAGGGTAGATCAGGTGAAGTGCAGGGTGGAAGAAAGTTTGGGGCGCATATGGGCCCCTAGCCATGCACCCCAAGGAGAGTTCCTAGGGAGCTGTAGGTGCTCTGTTTGTGGCATGCCTTCCTGAAGAAGAAGAAAAAATAAAATAAAATTTGGATTCCCTTTCTCCTCTGGAATGAAGCCACCCTTAGGGTGAGTCCATGTCTCGCCCCATGACAGAGGAATTCCGATTGTTCAGCTTGCTTTAAACATGCTCCTTGATAGTCCAAAATGTTTCCTCCAAGGTTGCTGTTCAGTCTGATGACAGACAGTAGGGAACATACTTTGTTGTCCTAGGATGCTGTGACATTTACTCCTTTTGGATAGGACTAAGGTGGTTCGGTTTGGTTTGGTGGCTCAGCTCGGCTCAGAGTTTTGCAAATGAACTAGCTTTTCCCACTTGAATGGGAACAAAAGCTGTCGATGAGCAGACCCAGACATTTCTGCATATGTATATGTCAAGTTGAAAAAAGGTGCGAGGTTTTTGGCAGACAATCTGGCCACCAGGTCCTGGGTCAGAAAGCCCTGTGGAACTGGTACCTCAGATGAGTGTTGCTAATATTTTAAATCCCATTTATTCTCATCAGACATGTATAAACCGTACTGCCGCAACTCACGTTCTAATGAGCAGCGTCCTCTCCTTATTTCAGGGCTACTATAAGAGAACACCAGACTATACCCTGATCCGGGAATGGAAGAGGGCTGGCTGCTTCGCGGTCCCAATGGTGCACTCCACATTCCTGATTGACCTGAGGAAAGAAGCATCCGATAAACTGGCATTCTACCCCCCACACCAGGATTACACCTGGACCTTTGATGATATCATTGTCTTTGCCTTCTCGAGTCGTCAGGCAGGTAAGCCACTATGGGATGGCAACTTGTTTAAGAATATCATGTGCAGGGACAGGGTGGACCCTCTCGGAATCTGTCCCTTTAGCATCTGTGGACTCGCTCTCATGCTCAGCTCGGTCCTACAAGTTAAGCCAAGCCACAAACGCTTGTGGACTCCCAGGTGTACAACGGGCGACTGGTACACAAAAGAGGGATGCTGTGAGCAGCATTTAAAACACTGACTCTGTGGAGTCGGTGCAGGAAGCTGCGGCCACATGTATGAAATAACGCACGGACTGGGTTCACGCGTTAATCCGTGGTGGTTCATAAGCCGTGATGTGCTGTCTGAATGCAGCATTCTTCAAGCAGGGTAGATATAAACCTCCCCAACTAGACATGGCTTGTAGGAGGGCTGAATAAACCCGCTACAGCTTATAGTGCTGCCCAGACCCAGGCGACGAATGAGCCATGGTCGTGGCAAAAAACCCAGGGGCCCCAAAGTGCCGAAGCAGTGCTTGGAACAGCTAGGAAACCCTTCCCCCTTCCCTGCTGAATTGGGGGTCACTTTAAAACTTGGGCAAACCTCCATGTAGGGAGACCAGCTTGTGCTTGTAGAAAACTACAAAATGAGGGAGCAACCTTTTTATTTAACCCTTTTTATTTAAACGTTATTTTAATTGTTAATATTATTTATTTATTTTATTCTTTGGCCAGGGTGACTTAATTTATACTGTTAAATTACATTGTTTTATATGATGTTATTTATTTATGTTTGTGAGCCGCCCCGAGGCTTCAGCGAATGGGGCGGCATAGAAATTCCCTAAATAAATAAACTGGGGATTTCACGCATTCCCCAAAACCCTGGGCATCTTGCTAAGAAGGGGAATATCCCCTAAAGCACTCCATTTTATGAGTTCCTGGGGATTTGGGGGTGTCTCTGTACTGTCCATGCATGGGAAAGTGAGGGCAGCCCAGGGACACATGAGTACCCCCTCCCCAAATGCTGAGGATTCAGCTGCAAAGGGTGCCCTCCCCGCCCATCTTTAAAAATAGTTAAACAGATCGCATTGGGCTCAAGAGCTGCAGTTTGGCCTGCACACCGAGTCCATGAAGAACAACAGCCTTGCCCATTTGCAGTGGGGGGAGGGGGCATTGCAAACTATTTTTCAGCATCTTTTTTAAAAAAGTGGGGTGTGTAGAAAGCACCCCTTGCAGGAGAATCCTCGAGGGTTTGGGGGAACGGTCCTTATGGCCCAGGGCTTCTCTTTCCATTCCCGAGTATGGATAATGCAGAGCGACTCTTCCAAAGTCATGCTGTGACCAGTGCTAAATGGTTCAGGGACACACACTCACATCTTGGTGTGCCTGCTGTGCCCCCTGGTATATTGCAGGGGGGCTGGGGCACAGGGTGCCCACAACCTCTGTGTTGCCTGGTCCTCTTTTGAGCACAGAGGCATTTTATTCACAGTGCCTCCTCCTCCTCCTCCTCCTCCTCCTCCTCCTCCTCCTCCTCACTCAGTCAGAATTCCCAAGGGGGTCACTGTTGTGCGAACCCAGCCAGAAAGCAGTGGAAATTCTTCCACTGAGTTGCAAACTTGCAATTCTGTTTGCTTTGGAAATGGTTGAAAAGCAGTTTGTATAACAAAACCAGGTCTGGGATGTTTAACCTTAGTGAGCATGCATGCTATAATTTAGAAATTTACTAAATGCTGTGCAGGGATTCAGAACAAGGCAATCTCTGCTTATAGACTTCCAGTGTATAGCACAAAAGGAAAGGGGATAAGGAGGGAAAAGGAAAACCATGCATGAAGAAAAGTGTGTGTGTGTGGGGGGGGCTTTTTGTACCCCCCCCCCCATCTTTGGAATCACTTCCCTGCTGTGGGAATAACCCATCTTTTCAACACCAGGTTAAGACAGCCCTATTTGCAGATGCCTATAAAGACCTCCCTGATCATTCAGAGACCTGGTACAATTTCCTTTTATTCTTGGCTGGGTCTTTAAAAAATTCTTGTCAATGCTTTTATCTATTGTATATTAATGCTTTTATGTTTTATTGTAAACTGCCCTGAGAGCTCCAGCTACAGGCAGTATAGAAATGAAATAAATAGTAGTATCTCTGATGAGAAGAATAAGATAAGTGATATCACGGAGGATGCAAACATTAAGCAAAGCCTTCATGGCAACCGCTTTGCAAGGATCATGAAATAGGTCATTTTGCAAAGGAAAACACCTCCGAGACTTGGAAAGGGAGAAACCCGATGTATGAGTGGTTGATTACATGATTGCCAGATGCATCAATCACAGAATATCTTCGGATCTGTTTCCCATAATTGCACCTGACAGTTCAACTCTGACCTGGCAAGAGCCGTAGTCAGCTGCTTGGCTTTGAGCGCAGAGTTCCTAAGGGGGCAGACACCTCCTGGGCCTTTCCATAGACCTAAAAATACTTGGGCACGGAGGTGGTCTGTGAATAATGCAAGTCACTGTCTCAGCAGATTATGTCTGCTCAAAGCGTAGTTTTCAGTGGTTGAGCTTAGATTCCCTTTCCACCAAAGAAGAGCAAGACGGGGGAGCCAAGAGCTTGCAATACTTATCTTGAACGTCATATTCATAAATCCCTTAAATAAGCACGTATTGGGAGGCCTGATTGTCAGACGGGGAACAGCGAAGATGGCCATGGCAACCCCCCTTTCTCTTTTGCCCCCAGATGTTCAGATGTACATCTGCAACAGAGAGCATTATGGTTACCTCCCTGTGCCCTTGAAACCCCAGCAGAGCCTGGAGGACGAAACAGACGCCGTAGTCCATGTGCTGATCGAGGCAATGAGTAAGTCAGCGGAGCAGCATCTCACACCATAATCCTCACAAAGAAGACCCCTGTAAGCTCCAGCTGTCTTGAATAATGTTCTTTCAGGGACCTCTCCCTCTCGTGGCCTTGAAGGCCCTGAAAGAAAGGGGAGGGGGCTTTTCAGTGGTGGCCTCTGTCTTTGGAACAACCTCTGGAGCTTGCCTGGTGCCAAACTTGCCAGCTTTTTGGCACCAGGTCAAGGCAGCCCTTTCCTTGGAGGCCTTTAGAGATCTCCTGGTCATCCAGTGGCTTGAAGGGATTATCCAGTGAATCTTCTTCTTTGCTGGGTCTTTTTTACTGTAAGTTTTTAAGCTATTTTAAATTTACTTGAACATTGTTCTGTTTTTAAGGTATTTATATTGTTTTTATAGTTTTGTTTTATGCACTGTTGTAAACCATCAAGAGAGATTCAACTATGGGGCGGCACAGAAATGACAGAAACAAGAAAAAAACAAGCTGTAAGCCAGGAGTGATCTGGGAGCTCAGTTGATTCAGGTTGCGAGATGTCATCCATTTCATCACGTGGGGTGCTTTGGGGTCTTTTTCTCATTTGTGTTTTAATTGAGGGTGTTTTTAAAAAAATGTGTACCGTTTTTGAGCTTGACTAGATTGAAATCAAGAAAGTAAAGAATTCTGTGCTGTGGCATGGGGTGGGGAGCAATCCCCCCCACCCACAAGGCCAGGCGGGAGTCTGTCAGGCTATTTCCACTTCCTATATAAGGCTATGGGGTGATGAGGGGACCCCTCTAACATACCTGTGCTTGCCCCCCATGCCCAGTGGCAGCCCATTTCTGGTACTGCACAAGACAATTTTTCACAGTGCCAGATCTGCCACCAGGCTCCCCAACACTGGCGCTCAGGTGTTCCCCCCTTTCGCTTCCTGCACACAAACTTCCTCCCTCTGTCCATCAGTTTCTTTTACCTGTGATATAGCGTTAGGTCTACATCAACCCTGATCCATGCTACTTCGAACTGAACTTATAAGCACAGTCTGAAAACAATGTTGTGGCGCTCGTTTGCAAAGCTTTTCTGGAGGGAACAGCTGAGATTACAAACAACCCTTGAGTACAAGTTTTGAGTCCCGGCTGAATAACTTCAAGAGTTTCTTGTATTCTTGTGTCAGTGATGGCTCTTCTTCACCTCTTGCAGTTAATCGACCTCCAATCGAACCTTCGGAATATGTCACACTTCCCGCAAAGCATCCAGACAAGATGGACTTTGATGAGGTAGGGAGACGGTCTGCTTTTCCAGGCCAACTTTTGGGAAAGCAAAATGGAGAGGGCAAATTTAATAGGAAGGTGAGATTGGCATTCTGGTCTGTAGCATCAAACCTTGGCAAAAATGTTATCTATGGTCACAGCATGTATGTGTTTGGCAGAGAAATTATATTCGTTCTGTCATGAAATTATATTCGTTTGTGACATCTTAGTTGGTAGATCTGGAACCCCACTGTGGCTTTTGGATTGTTTTCTAATAGAGCAATTTGGAGAGTATGTTTTCATTTTAGATTTCTTCTTGGGTATTTGGAACAGGACAGATAAATCCCAATTTCCCCATAAATCCATGATTTTTAAACTGTGCTCTGGAAACAGCAGGGGTTGGGGATATTGTAAGATGGCCCATGAGACCACAATAAATAGTAAATCGTTACTGTTATTACATTGCATTTATATTCCACCTTTCTTCCTCTTGCAAGAAACCCAGGTGGCTTTCAAGTTTCTCTCCCTCTCCATTTAATGCTCCATTTCAACCCTGTGAAGGAGGTTTATGATTGTCCCAAAGTGGGCTGCATAGTTGAGTGGGGACTAGAACCCCAATCTCCAGAGGTCCATCCAGAACTCATAACCACTACCCCACACTGCCTCTAAGAGAAGGATCCTCAATCTCTTTTTTTTCCCTAGAACAGGCGGCATTCTCACACCGCATGTCATTTTGCAGGGAGTGAAACTCAGTGCTACAGGGCAAAAATGGAGTTCCAAAACCTGCGTTTCCCCTCGTACACGGTACCTTGTCGGGCGCTGTTTGTGGCTGGGGATGCTGAGCCATGTGTGATTGTCAGGCAAGAACTTACAAATACAAGAGAGGTTAGATCTTTGCTCCCGCCCACCAACGTCTGTCTACAAGTGTCAGTTAATGCTGCCTCTAGTTGCATCCGCCCTGTGAGAGCCATAAGACAAGGAAGGAACTAAAACAGGGTGACACCACCCAAGCTCAGCTTTTGTCGCTTGTTCTTCACATGAAGCTGTTTGGTTTCTGGCTTGGCTGGCCCTGTGGCATCTCTGTGTACATGGTTTGCACAACTAAATATAGAACTATTACCTGGCTGCTTTGGCGTGTGTTGTGTCTGACTGCCTTGTATTTTTAAGCGGTGCAGCTGCTTTGCCGCGGTGTTCTGTTTGCCAACCTTATTTATCTGTGTCCCATTTGGAGGAAGGGCTGGGGCAGTTTACCGTTGCCTGTTTCTGCTTCCCCTACATTAAGACCCTGCTTGTTCTTGCTTGAATTTGGTCCAGCAGGCTTCCCAAGGGACCTGCACACACGATGCTCCGGACTTGGCAGGCTGGCGGTGCAGGGCTGACTTTTTGCACGCAGTGCTTACCGGGGTGTGTTTTGACATCTCGGGATGCGCCTTGTGAAATTCCAGGTGGTATAAACCAGTATCCGGCCCCCTGGTGCTCCTCAGAATAGGGTTGGGATTAACCCTTTCAGAGCCAGTCCCTCCAGCGTCTGTAGACCTCCTCTTATGCACAGCCCAATCCTGCAAAACTGCCTGAGCGAAGAGGAAGTCTGTGCATGCTCAAGGACCCTTCTTGCACAGCTGGCAGCCTTCCCCATCAGCAGCGGCTGCAGAATGCAGGAAGGGGGCGCTGCAAGTGGTGCTGTGGACACCACTCCAACCAGCAAGCTTCTTCCCCACTAACTGGTCCCAGTGACAGCCGCATATATAGGAAAGGGACACCCGGCTTGGGTGCCCAGGACTCGATTCCACAAGCGCTGTGTGTGGTGAACAGGAACATGGACTCAGAGCTGCTGCTCCCCGTGGTTGTCCCAAGAGCCAAGCCTAAGGAATCCCGAACCCCAAACAGATTCCTCACACATCCCTTCCCCAGAAGACCTTTTCTATCACCCACTGGTCATTTGGGTCTTCTCTGCAGGGGTTTTTAACTTGCCAATTTACTGAGGCTTCTGCTTCTCGATGCTCTGCAGGATTGAGACTGGTTCCTTTATATATTTTCCCCCACAGGTTTTTTCCCTCTGCTGTTTCGTATGTTCCATTACACAACCACAAGGTGGCACTGTGGCCAAGTGAAAGAGTGAAAATACATAACCCTTTTCTAGCTTGTTATTATACGCTAGTCCTTTAATAGCTCACTATCTTTCTTCTAAAAAAAAGCCACAGAAATGCTCAGAAATTGGGAGAAGCTTTGGAAGAGCATGAACATCATGTAACCTACTGTGGCTGAGGAATCATGAGAGCACAATAAGTACCACATGCAGCAAAGGCCTTGGCAGTTTTCCAGCTTTTGTGCGGATTTCCTGCCCTCTAAATGGTGGGATTGCCTCTCCAAAAGCTTAGCTTGAAGCTGCAAGTCTTTGATCCACCAACCAGGACCGTGTGCCCCCTGGCAAGTTCTCCAAATGAAACTGGGCCCTTAGCCCAACGCGGTTGCTTAGATTTGCACAGTGGAAATTCTGGTTTCTTTCTCTAGATTTTCATGATAAATCTGAAGCGTCGGAAAGACCGCCGGGATCGAATGCTGCGGACTTTGTACGAACAAGAAATTGCAGTTAAGATTGTCGAAGCCGTGGATGGAAAGTGAGTTATTTGTAGTTTTTAAATGCTCGGTCTTTGGGGAAGTTTGGCCTCTGCCTGAAATGGGGGCGCAGCATGCTAGACAGACCCCCTTTTGATGCCCTAAATTCAACAGCTAACACAGAACAGGAATGGGGTTAAGATTGGATATATCAAACTGTTGGTCTGTGTTGAGAAATAAAGGCTTCTAAGCAAACATCACACAGAACAGGAGGCTTTCTACTGTGACTCTGCGTGATGTCTTGGGCTTGTTGCCTTCGAACCAGACGCTGCTGCATGTTGGTCATTCTGTTACATCTCTGCACTGGGCGTGATTGGAGCATTCAATCCATCCTGGTGCAGAGATACAGCAATATATGGCTATGGGGCTGCTGGGAATTGCAGTCTAGCATCATGGGGAGATCCAGTTGCCCACCTCTGATATGGAGACCGGACCTAAGTGCAGAGTGGTTTCTTGGCACCCTGAAAATCCACGGGCCATTCTTAGACCTCTGTTTTGCAGGGCGCTCAACACGAGCCAGCTGAAGGCGCTCAACATTGACATGCTGCCTGGTTACCGGGATCCGTACTCTTCCAGGGTGCTGACCAGAGGGGAGATTGGATGCTTTCTTAGTCATTACTATATCTGGAAGGAGGTGATCGCTCGCTCTGCTTTCCTTGTTCTTTTGAAGGTGTGGGGAAGGGCTGCTTTTGCACCCACAGGCTGCCTGGAAGGGAGCTGTGCCCCCTTTCCCGGGAGTGGCAGAAGGATGTGGGTGGCTGAGGGCCGCACCCTGGTCCTTTGGAAGAGGAATGTGCCTGAAGGGCCACACGGAGCATGACAGCCCCCTCCGTGGGTGACGCAGACGTTTGAGGCGTCTGGTACGGCTGGACGGCTGGCAGGCACTTTGCCTGTTTCTGCGCCTTGGAGAGCTGCTTCTGCATTTGCGCAAAGTTCCCCTCCATTTCCAGCTCGACATTAAAAGCAAACCCCTCTTAAGAGAGCGACTGAGCAGGAAGAAGCAAAAGAGAGGTTCTTGCACCCCATTTACACTTGCCAACCCCGGCAGGCCCTCATGCAGCCGCCTTCCAGAGGTTTTCAAACATTGCTAGGGAGATGTGTACAGGTGCGTGGAGGTAGAGCGGCCGCAGCAGTTAGTGCTCCAGAGGGGGGTTGCAAAATGGGGAAGTGCCCCAATCTTCCACTTCTGGACTTCCTGGAGACTTGGGGAAGTGCTGAAAGCATGGAAGATACCGAGAAGTGTCGGTTCGAGGCTTCATGCAAAGCGAGCGGCATGGCCGGGTTGGAGAACTTGTGCGCATTCTTATTTCTTGAAGGTGGTGAGCAGGGAGCTGGAGAAATCCCTGGTCATTGAGGATGATGTGCGCTTTGAGCATCAGTTCAAGAAGAAGCTCACCAAGTTAATGGATGATATTGAGAGAGCCCAACTCGACTGGGAACTCATGTAAGTCGTGCTGCTGAAAGATTCCTTCTGGGGAACTTGGGGCCCCCAGATCCTCAAGAGCTATCAGCCCCTCCACTGAAGTGGGAGAGATGTGCATCAGAGTTCCTAGGAGCCACCCAGTTCTCACCTCGGCCAGTGGAGAAGGCTTGGGGATGGCGGGACAATGGGGAAGCCTCTGTGAGATGGACCCAGCATGTACTCTGCTGGTGGCTTGGAGTCAGCAATGCAGCATTGCATCTTGGGAACATTGGTCGATCATTGGCATTCTGGTCCAGCCAATGAGAACTAGATCTCTGCTAGAGTCCTGCAATAGCGGAGAGTTGGACCATTGGCCTTCCGGCCCCTTCCAGCTCTACTATTCTATGATTCGAATTGCGATAAAATGTGGTAACTGAATCATACTGCCTGTCTTGAGAGGAAGGTGAGACGACTGCAATGCAGAGGTTTTAATTAAAGCCACGCTGAGCTTTTATCCATCAGAAACTGCTATCCCTGAATTAAGCTGTACCCTTAAATGGTGAAGCAGTTTCTCCACGCATCCAGGACACCACCAGCCTGGAGTTGCTCAGAATTCTACCACAATGAACAATTAAAGCAACCTTGCTCTGTTCTGATCTTCTCCCAGAACCTGGCATCAGCACAGTGATGCTGGAACACCTTGGGAATTACATATGTCAAAACTCCCTGGAGAAGGGAGAAGCTTCCATCACAAAGCCAAAGAGGAGAGAGGCAAAGCAATTGGAGGATTAACTCATTAAGCTTTCGGCTGGCTACTTTAGAACATGCAGGGGCCAGCATGGGAATGGGTTTTGGTGGGCAGTGGCACATTGCCCTGCCAGAATATATGGGGAGCTGCATCCTGCTGTGCCAAGTTTGCCAGTGGGGGCTCTGAATTTCCAAGAAGAGCAGCAAAACTCTCCGCAATTTTGCAAGAAAACAAAATTGTTTGTTTTGGAATGCCTTCATTCCAAGTAAAACTATGCTTCTGGGAGTGCAGATTTGCATTAATTTTGAACATTTTCCCACTAAACAAATGTTCTTGCCTCCATTTTACCCCCCAAATGCACTTTTCGCATGCATTTCATTCAGCAATACTCATCTCTGTATGGATGTTAACCTAAATTACACATTTGTGAATGCAATTATGATGCTTTTTTTGAGGCCAGGAACAGTTGAGGGAGACGTGTGAAAACTGGATAGCTGCATTTTGATCCACCAAGTAGTCCAGAAAGAATGAGTCAAGTCTGCTTACTTATCAATGTGCCCGAAAGAAAATCCTCAGGTATCGCTAGAGTGTGCTGGCCCAGTTACCTGCCTCCACTGAAGGCTGATAGGAAAGAAACAGAGATATGAGAGGAAGCCTCCTTGGGGTGGCCCCTTGGGACTCACAAGAAGTTTGGTTCATTGTGGCATACTTTTTATTCCCACACTGCCCTTGGCTACCTGCCAAGCTCTTGGATTTCTTTTAAAAGAGTTTTGCATTTTCTTTGGAATTTTTAAATCAGAATCTCACATGCATACACCCTCTCTGGGTGTACTTGCCTGATTATTTGTTTCTTGAAGACTGTTCATTTTAGAAAGTCCCAGGTAGCTAGTATGGCATAAAACCTCAACGACTCAGTGCATCTTGTGGTCTTTTTCTAGCTACATTGGCCGTAAGCGGATGCAGGTGGAGCGGCCTGAAAAAGCCGTCCCCAACATTGTGAACCTCGTGGAAGCAGATTACTCGTACTGGACTCTGGGCTACGCAATCTCTCTGAAAGGAGCTCAGAAACTGATCGGAGCAGAGCCTTTTGGGAAAATGTTACCTGTTGATGAATTCTTACCTGTCATGTACAACAAGCACCCAGTGTACGTTATTTGCTGTGCTTATTTTATTAACCCGCACTGGATTACACGCAAGGTTTGCACCATGGCGGGGGGGGGGGGACAGCTTTGCAAAATGGCTGCATTTTGGTTGTTGGGTTCTTTAGCGGTCATTGTGACCCTCCACTTCCTGTCTTCCAACCTGCACTTTGAGTGAGGGGTATTTCTTTAGAGCTGTACCATTTGCAAAAGGATGCACGGATTCCTTATTGTGGTCTCGGGATGGTTTAACAATAAGGCAAAATAGAATGAAACACAGTATCCTAGAATCAACAGTGAAACCCATACTAAAACAGTCAAACCTTAAAACATTGGGGAAAATAAAAAACGGTTTTAGCCTGGCACTGAAAAGAATAAACGGCCGGCACCAGGCAAACCCCTCTGGGGAGTGAATTCCACAGTTGGGGGCCACCGCAGAGAAGGCCCTTCTCCAGGTAGCTACCCTCGTAATCTCCTTCAAGGAGGGCTCCCAGAGAAAGGCCTCTGCCCCAGATCGTAAGGGGTGGGCAGGCACTTATGGAAGGATGCTCCTTTGGATAAGCAAGCCCTAAGCCATTTGCGAGAAGCTTATGAGTTCATAGCAAAGAGATATGGACCGGGCATGTTGTGGTGGATACGCCCTCCTTTGCCCTGTATGCTCGCCATTTAAAATATGAAGGGACCGTGCTAGGGGAAATTGAAGGCTGAGAAGAGAGATATGAGATGGATGGACTCCAAGGAGCTACAGCCTCACCTTTGCAGGAGGTGAACAGGGGTGTCACGGATGGGACTTTATTATGGAGGACTTCCATTCTTGGGGTCACCATAAGGCAGAGGGGATGTGATGGCGCGTCACAACCAGAATCGTGGCTTTCAGCGGCAGGGCTGGCTTGCCTCCTTTGCTGCCTCCGGCCTTGCTGATGTCGGTGTCTTCTCCCTCCTAGTGCCGCGTACATGGAGCACTACGAGCCCAGGGACTTGAAGGCTTTCTCTGCAGAACCTCTGCTGATCTATCCGACCCACTACACCGGGCAGCCGGGTTACCTCAGCGACACGGAGACATCCACGATCTGGGACAACGAGACCGTGGCCACCGACTGGGACCGGACGCTGTCTCGAAAATCGCGGCAGCAGGGGCGGATCCACACGGAGGCGCAGAACAAAGATGCTCTTCCACCTCAGCCTTCCCTGGACGCGTCGTCCGCCCGGGACGAGCTATGACTGTTGCGTAGCCGGGGGACTCGGGAAACTTTGGCAAGCAGGACTTTCCAGAAGTATTAATGTGTGGTCTTTGCTGGCGACATCATCACTTCTATCTGACTGGCTTTAAGGAAACAGGGGCCTCTTGTTTTGCAGAGCCTGACTGAGTCAGGCCAACAGTTTTCTAAGAATATGATATTAACCATAGGCAACGTTTTGGTTTACGGGTTTGGACCACGGAAACCTCTGTTTTGCTGCTGGAGGACTCCACAGGGCACTGAGTTGACGCTCAGAAAGCACTTCCATTCCTTGAATGACATCTTTCTACAGTTTCCAGTGGAGAATCACTCTATTTATAAAGATTAATATATAGGGGGGTTAGGTGAGGTACCCAGGCCCTTCCATGTTGATATTTTGTCTGCTGCTGCATAACAGGAATTCTTGCTGGTTTAGAGTTTTCTTAACCATATTCTCCAAGAAACATTGTAGGGGCTTTATTCTTCCAAAGGGGTACAGTCCAAAATGGTTTCATGCCTCTGACTCGGAGATCTGAGTGGGTGTCTATTTTGTCCATCCTACAGATCATTAAACTGTGCCCATAAGCTGGCTTACCTCCTAGTCATAATGCTGGGATGGGCCATTATCACTCAGAATTTCTATAAATTCCCAATTTGCCATTTTTTGTAGTGCTAAATCTTCACTCTTGTGGCACAGCCTCATGCACAGTAAGGAGGGAATGGGCCTCCTTATTCCCATTTTACAGATGACGGATGGATGGTTGAGGTGCTTAGGGCTAGGAGGCACTTCTTTACAGCAAGGTGTATGAGCCATGATGGATTGACTCCCAGAGGTAGGATGTATTGTGCTTTCTTTTGACTGAGAAGGAATTTTAACCCAGGTCTTCCAGATCCAAGATACGCATTCATTCATAAACAGAGCGACAGCAGTTTGGGGTCAGGTCCGGGGTATTCGCTCCCTTCACACCTTGCGGCATTTGTCTCTGGCCTCCCAGACCTGCCACCTCCAGTCTAGAACACAAAGGCCTTATTTAAAAACCTAGAATATTTGTCCACCCGTCTGTCTGTCAGTTCATCCCATGATGCAGCTGGCCAGTACCAGAAACTGGTGGCCCACTTTCTCCCAGTTCATTTAGGCAACCCCATGCGAACTGGTGTGCTTGCACTGTTTCTCCAGTACCTTTCTTTGTGTGGGCTAGAGAGGCTGCGCAGACCTCTTTTGACACTTTTTAATGCATTCACTTCCAATCCAAAATGGATATGTTAAAATATACATATATCCAGTATCTGTTTAAAGAAAATAGCTGAAGGCTTTGGTAAGAACAGAAGCTCCCTTCTGAATTTGCATCCATGCATCAAGCTTGTTGATTGGTTATTTTGTTTGTCTGATTTGAACTGCCCTTAAGTTGGGGTGAAAACCTTAAGTGTCCTTCAGTCTAATAAGACGATCAAGCTTACCCTATTTGGGATGAGCTGTGATACACTCCCGGCTGGGTAATATCTCAGTACATGAAGCCCAGATATTTATAAATGTGCTATTAAATCTATTGCCCATTAGGTTTAGCTGGTGTCAATTTCAGAGATGGATTGGGGTGGGTGGGAATCCTGAAAGAAAACTAAAGAATAAAGCAAGAACACGTGTGTGCTTAACCTCCAGCAGAGGCTGTGCATGGGAATTGTTTTTAGCTGAAATAACTAGGATTATATTCTGCTTTTTCCTGAAGGGGTTCAGTTGCTGCTTATCAGCTGGTCTGATAAAATATAGCAATGGGAGGCAAACCAACTCAGCTGTTGCCATCGTCTTTTATTTGTGATGTTCTCATGCTGTGGATCTGATGTGATTCTGGGAAGACCAAGTCTTGCTCACCTCTACTTGAAAGGAGTAGGGAAACCCAGCGAAATGTTTTTGGACTTGTGACGACTATTGGGAGAAGTCAGAATCTTGCCATTTTGGAAGGATGTAGATACTGGGGGCAGGGGCCGTGTCAGATGGATGCGCTCATCCTCTTTTGACATTGGATGCATCTGCAGTTTTCAAGCTGTCCTTTTGGACCAGTTCCACACAGACTGGAATTACATTACTTCTTTCTTCCTGCACCTCTTTGCGGGATGTTGACCAAAACTTAGGCTAAGCATTCTTCCATGTGAATGGGAATGGGAGAATCGGGAGTGGTGGAGCCCAACAAATGTCTCTTATTTCTACAGTGATACTTAGTGCATCTGATTCGCATTCCGGAATGCACGCATCTTTTTATTTTGAAAGAGGAAAGGGGTGCGTTTTCAGTGGGGATTAATGTGCATTTTTTTAAGAGAGCAACCAAATGTGCGCGTTCCCTCATTGATTAAAGTGTGGAAATGGGAATAAAATAAAACGAAGCCTGCCTTGGATTGCATTGGGAAAAAGGACGTCTTTGCAAAGGGAGTCACCGGCAAGAGAATAGGCAATCTTTGTTTGGAAGACTTTGGGGTGGCTTGCAGGACATGCTCTGTGCTGTTGTTCAAACGGAAATGGGATTGTCACATGTCCCTAGGTTCGGACTGAAAGAATGTCAGAGATTACACTGAGCACACTTGTGGTACCCCCTTCTAGTGCCGTTCAAGAAAATTCATCTGCCATTACCAGTAGGTACCTGGTGATTCTCTGGAAGACAGTTTGAAACCCACTGGCTGATTCCGATAAGGTAAAGGTTTCCCCTTGGCGTGAAGTCCAGTCATGCCTGACTCTGGGGGGCGGTGCTCATCTCCGTTTCCTGGCCAAGGGAGCCAGCGCTTGTCCGCAGACGGTCTCCGTGGTCATGTGGCCGGCATGACTAAACACCGAGGTGCAGGAACGCCGTTACCTGCCCACCGAAGTGGTACCTGTTTATCTCCTTGCATCTGCATGCTTTCGAACTGCAAGGTTGGCAGGAGCTGGGACGGAGCAACGGGAACTCACCCTGTTGTGCAGATTCGAACCTGCGACCTTTCGATCAACCAGCACAGTTTAAACCACTGTGCCACCTGCATGCCTACTGAAAGCTATTTTGGAAATGATTAGCCTTCCTGATTTGAAGGCTGTTGTCCCAAATCTGTACCAATTTGCTTACAATCTTGGGTGTTGGCCAAGATTGGCTGCAGGGTTTTGGGGAAACTCAAGCAAAGAGCTGAAGGCTGTGGTAAGAGTGGAGTCTCCGTATTAACGATGAAGAAAGCAGAGGGTTGTGAGGCTTCTGCATCAGGCCTTTAACCCACGTTAACTCACTGCTTCACTGAGGTGTTTACGCTTCACATGATTATGATCGAAAAACATGGGTTTTCCCTGTGTTTTTCCTACTGTTTTCCTATATGTTCTATAGGACAAGCTGCTTCTGCAATCCTCAAGCAGTCTGTAGTCTTTTAAGTTCATGATCCTTCATGATCCTTGAACTTCTTGGAAACAACTCCAGTTTGCGGGTGTCACACCTTCCTTTAGGGGTGCCTGGAAGCACGTGGCTGTTCTCCCATCGTGCTAAGCTGGATTTCACCCTCAGAAGGCACCAGGACACACTTCTAGCATGGTGTCTAGCAAGCATGGAGATCTAAGCTTCTGTTGTGCTTCCGGCTGGCATGGGAAGGAACCACAGCCTGGCCCGTACACAGCAGCTCATTCGGAGGCTCTAGTAAAGTAACAACGAGTGTGACCACACGCAAGCGGGATGGAGCTACTGAAGTAACAGGCCAGGGCTTCTTGCTGCCCTGTACCAGAGTACTTGCAGCTACTTCATGCTCTCCTTTCCACTGGAACCTCCAAGAGTCGTTTTTGCCACGTGGTTATAAATACCAGCCCTTTGTATGATAAGCGCAGAAAGGAGGGTTTGACCTTTAGGATTAGGATTAAGTAGGCAGGACTAACCCTATGACCGTGTGTGTGCAAGGGGGGGAGGGGTTGTGCATTTCTTGATGCATATTTGGAGAATCAAGGGTTGGGGGAGCTTTCATTTGCCCTGGATTGATGCTGCGATCTTTTTTGTTTTTTCCTCCCCCCAGTATAGTTTATCATGACAGTAGGAGTTACACTGCCTGTTAAATGCAGCATTTACATTTAGTACATTTCTTTTGTAAATGCAGAACAGGCTTTTGGAAGGTGAAAAATAAAATGGGGAAGTTGGGGAGATGGTAGCGCTGTGAAAAAACCTGTGTGTAAAAAGCATGTTCAGTAGACTTTCTGTCCAGAAAACAGCTCCGTATTCCGTTTTTTTTTTTAGTTGCAAAGTCATGCCCAACCCATCACAACCCCATGGACAACACTCCTCCAGGCCTTCCTGTCCTCCACCATCCCCCGGAGTTCACCAAGCCCACACCCACTGCTCCAGTGACCCCATCCAGCCACCTCATCCTCTGCCGTCCCCTTCTCCTTTTGCTGTCGATCGTTCCCAGCATCAGGGTCTCCTCCAGTGAGCCCTTCCTTCTCATTAGGTGGCCAAAGTATTTGAGTTTCATCTTCAGTATTTGGCCTTCTAAGGAGCAGTCAGGGTTGATCTCCTCTAGGACTGACCGGTTTGATCGCCTTGCGGTCCAAGGGACTCGCAGGAGTCTCCTCCAGCACCACAATTCAAAGGCCTCAATCCTTTGGCGCTCAGCCTTTCTTATGGTCCAGCTTTCACAGCCAACTGGGAAAACCTCATATTCCTTACCAATGGATATTTCTTAGCACAATCTGTTCTTGGACAAATCAGTTCATGGGAAGCAAAGCAGGGGTTTTCCTAGGCAGCTTCAGGTTGTATGCAAGTCAAATTTCACTCAGTAGCCAAAATTAGGTGGTGGTTTTCATTTAGCAGTAATATTTTTGAGAGTTTGACGGGGGTTTTGTGGGCTTTGAGGGCTCATTCTATTATTAAGTGGCCAGGTTTTGAGAAGTCTGTCATGAACTTTAATATGCTGTAGGGTGTGCTAAGAAATATCCGAAATTGCAGAAGGACGGGCTGAGATAGCTGAAATGCACACGCACACACACAGTGTCTATTTAGGCTGCCTAGTGTGTGGAAACGTGCAATTGGGCAGATTGTATAAACTCAGTCTAGTTAACCATTGGGAGTAAACTTTGATGGGTCTGTAACATCTAGCGCAGCATGGAATATTTCCTATTCCCCTTGCCTATCAAGAGAAACGCAACAGAAACGTTTTGGCAACAGCCATGAATTCTGGGCAGCCTTTCCCAGCCTGGTGTTGTTCAGATGTTTCGGGCTGCAACAACCCTCACGCTTGGTCTTGCTGGCTGGAGCTGATGGGCATTGGAGTCCAACACACTGGGGCAAAGCTGGGAGCAACAGCTTATCTGGCTCATTGACGGGGCCTTGGGACAGCTAGCTCTGAGCTGGCACAGGGGGTCAGGTGAACCCCTGTAATTATTTTGAAACGAGTGGCATCATTAAGGAAGCTGAAACTAATTGGCTCTCAAAAATGCTGCCTTGTGGATTTGAAGCTTACTATTGGCCAGATAGATCTTAAATGTGGTCCTTGTACTTGGACAGAGAATTATTCTCAGCTGCAGCACTTCACACAGGAAAGGCTTTAGCAAGGACGGAGCAACTCGAACCCTCCGTTAAGGGCTGCCTAAGAGCAGGTCAGAGAAGTGGGCAGAGAGGAGCTGGGGTGTCTGCCCAGAAGGTCCCAGCCACACCCAGAGAGCTCCCCTCATACGGATCTTCCCTATAGTGCCTAATGCTGCCAAATCTTGGAAGCTAAGCAGAGTCGGGCCTGGTTAGACTCTGGATGGGTGACTTCAGTGTATGATTCCACGATTACGGTTGTAATCTGCCCTGAGAGCTTTAGCTACAGGTGGTATAGAAATATCATCATCATCATCCACTGCCAGCAGAAGGTCAAAAAACGGTCGTGCTGGGGATGGGGAAGCAGCAAGCCTCTCTGAGACAGGCACACGGTAGGCATGTCGTGAGCAGAGCCGGCTGGAGCTGGGGGTCAGACTAGATGGCCCGGGAGACCCTTCTGACTCGCTCTGTTTCTATGTTTCTGTGTTCCTCCAGCAGGGAGGCTGGAGAACCAGACCCACCTTCTGCAAAGCTGGCAAAGTAATTCCCTGGTCTGGAAGCAATAGAAGAAAATAAAGTGAAGGGAAAACGAACACAACTGGAAAGTCAGTCTGTTTGCTGACACGTACCCCCATCTTGGCCGCCCCGAGCCAGCAGGTCTTGGGAAGGGATAGTCGACCTGTCACCACATCCCTCCCCAAGCGCTCTTGTTGGTGCGTGGCCAATACGCAATGTTGGATTACAGATCCACACCGCTATTTAACGTTTGGCCCCCTCTCAGACACCTGTCAAGAGAGAACTTGGGAGACCCTTTCACCTTCAAAGCTGAATGCCAGATCTGAAGGGCAGTCTTGCAAGTTAGACTGTGGCCCCGTGGAGGATGTCACATATGCATGAGGAAAGATCCAGAAGCGAATAGGCTGAATTACTGGAGAGGACGTTCGTCAGCGCCACAAGGAGACTCTCTTTTTGTACACAGCAATTGTTAATCATTCTTGTCTTTGTTTAGAAAAGACCCTCATCATCACAAGCGTAGCAATATAAAAATCTAGCTGATTCTACAGATATGTACAAGGTGTCTGTGCATGACCCACACCCACCCGCTCACCAGGCATGCATTGCTCATCTTCCACCAGAAAACCAAAGGAATGGAGCTCAGGCATCTGGAAATCCATGACCACGCGGGATATTTAAAGGCTCAGTTTTAAACCACCCTTAATCTCCACTAGTAATAGCATTATGGGGAGCCTGAGCTACATGGGCCAAAAGAGAATGCATTGGAAAGAGAGAGGTGTTCCACTTAGTGCAAAATACATCATCCGAGAAGTCCAGACGGTTTTTCCCCAAAACACTTCCTGGTAACCTTTTGTCAGGGCTGTGTGTAGGCTGCTGAAATAAAGTTCTGTAGCGGAGTAACCCAAATTTTGCAACAGGATGGATTCTGGGACCAATCTTAAGCCAGTATTCATACGATCTCTTATTTAGAGAACTTAACTCTTCTTCAGATATGAACTTATATGCATGTTTTTCTTAGAAGAAAGCCCCACTAAACTCAGTGGGTCCTACTTCTGAGTAGACATGCATGTGATTGGGCTATTTGCTTTTGCTAGTTTCTAAGCCACCCCCTGTACCTTGGTATCTCACCAGGCATTACATAAACATACGCTTTTGCAACCATAAAGGCCAGAAACTTGCATTTCAATTCTTAAAGTAATACTGTGATGGCCAGGATGCTGAATTCTGCACCCTCTATCACATTCCACATTATTTTCTGCTTCTGCAAAATTGCAGCGTGTGCACAGCTCTTGACAAGGAACTTGTGGCAAGCGAGACTTAATCTGCACGCCAAGAGCCAAAGAGCTGCGAAACTCTGCAATGGGCCCAAGGAGCTGCCTTGTCCTCCATAAAAGCAACACTTCCCCTGCCCCACCGCATGGCCACTTGTTTTTGGAATGGCAAGTCTGGAACTTTGCAGGAGGTTAAGTAGCTCTTTGGAACCAGGCCATAATTTTAAATCTGTTCTATGAGTGATGCAAAACTCCACGCGTGTGTGCATCACGAAGGCTGCCGTGATACGTGTTCCCACCAGGAAGGAACTCCTTCTGAGCGTGTGTGCCTGATTTCTTGAATGGTTGCAGTTCTGTTTGACAAGATTCTGCAAACACCCCCATTTGATCTTGCTAAGGAAAGGGCTGTTACAGCAGCTGTGCCAGGGGGTGGGGAGGGGTGGGGGGGGAGCAAAAGCAAGACGCTCCTGCTTCCCAGTGAGACCAAGGTGGAAGGCAACCCATAAAAACTGGGAGGAAATAGGAGTTGGGAAGGGGTGCCTAAAGAGTAAGGCGGCCTCCTCTCTCGCACAGCTTCCATTTCAACCCTTCCTGTAGCTCATGCCCTCAGGGGACCCTTTTGCCACTGAACAGGAGACAAAAGCCATTCCCTAGGAAGAGCAGTACGGGGGAAGGCCGCTCGGGCATGTTTTTCCTTCCTTTAAGGATGTCCCATCATAGGAAATCGTGCCATGACTGGATGCATTCTAGGGCCAGGGAGTTTCTGCCGCTATTTTTTAAGCAAAAGAAATTTTATGAGGTCTGTGAGCTTTTGTGACGTGGCTAATTAGCAAATACTGGTGTTGTTTTGCTCTGTGTGCTGACTATAAACGTGACTAATACCGTGTGCTATAATGCCAATATGGCTGATTACAGGGAAATACCTCTGCAGGTGGAAAGGAGTAATGTTACACACTCCAAAGAAACAGACTTTATGCAAAGCATAAAGGAACAATGTAGTGGCATTGAAAGCAGTAGTGCGTTTTTGTCCTGGCTTGGCTGGGTAGAGCATTCTGCGGGATCTGTCCCGCTTAATGCTCCGGAAGAGGGAATGCTTTTTCCAGCTTGGATCACAGGACCAGAAGACCGAAATAAGAAGTCCAGTTCCTTGGGCGGGCTCCAGAGCCTGGGGGGCAGGGTATTCTAGGAGAATGGTCATCCTCCTCAACTTCAGCAGCTCCTCTACTTCCGAAGAAGCCATCGGTGGGCAGGGAGCAGTCCATCGTCTCATCCACACCGTCCCTCCACGGATCAGTGTCCTCATTCAGCCAATGGTCCATCTGGCACGCCCTCCATCCTGCTGATTCGGATGGATCTGAACAGCAGTGCTGTCTTCCATTTACAAAAAAATGAATGGAAAACGCTCCGAATTAATACTGGCACCGAAAGGGATTGAGAGCGACTGAGCAGCCTGTGGGAAGGGGTGAGCCAAGCCGCACTGTCCTTTTCCCGAAGGAAAGTGGCCTTGGATTCTTGGACGCTGTGCAAAAAGCAGGTCCCCGTCCGTTGCTTTTCCACGCAGGTCCGCTCCACGCCTGCTGTCTCCCGGAAGGTATGCCTAATGCGTGGACAAGGCGCGCTTTGGACCCCGAAGCTGAATCCCGAGGCGCTCGTTCCCAAAGACTGCACAACGGGGAGGTTCCCCAGAGTAGCAGGAGGCTCCATCGTTTCCGTGCTGGCACATCCCCTCTCAAAGCGTGATTTTGCTGTTCCGGTTGCTCCAGCAGCCCCTCTTGCTGGTCCGGGGAAGAGTCAAGCTGGAGCGGCCCCTCAGTTTCACCTGCCCGTCCAGGGGGTTCTTCTTCCGCAGCACGAAGTCGAAGCTCACCTGGCTGTTCATGGCGTAGAAGACGTTGGCGCTGTCGGGGATCACCAGCTCTGCCGGGAGCAGAAATAAGGAGGGGTGGTCACGGGGGGAGCCTGCCCTCTGCCGGCGGATCGCAATGCCGAGCCGAAAGTGCGGCAGGCACGTGGGGAGACTGGAAGCTGACCCCAGCTCTGTGGACCCAAGCCACCTCGCCCTCTTCCCCAGGCTTCAGGCTTCTGATGTGGGATACTCAGTTGATGCTCCCTCCCAGGGCTCTGGCCGCCTGTTTGTTTTGGGGCTGCCATCCCCTGCTAGCCACTGTGAATGGTTTGTGCCACTTCCTCGCTGCAGCCACTCTCTGGCAGAATGTGGCGGCCTGGGGGTGCTGGGACCGGCCACCTCTTACGGAACTGCCCTGCTTTCCCCGCCTGCAACCTGCATCTCCTGCTTCCCGGCACCGACCGGGCTTGCGCAACACAACCACCACTCATTCTGCACTGCTGCCCACGAAGGCTGGCTGTATTGTGTGAATGCAGACCTTCTGGCACAGGGTGGCAAAGCGTCCAGCCACCTGGGCTGCTGCAAAGGTTGTCAAGCCCACCATGGGTTGTTGGGCTGTCCGAACCCAGGCGGCCAGCCTCATCATGGGCACAGGCCGTCCGCTGCTGAGCTGCCTGGCAAGAGCAGCGGAGGAAACTCGTTGTCCTTGCCAAGCGGCTCGTGGGCGACTGTCGGTGCCGGCCGCTCCCCATCTCTGCCACAGCCTCTTTTCCTTCTCGCCCTTTCCCCGGCTGAAGATCCTGGAAGCTCACTGCTAAGGTTGCCTGCTGACGATACACCAGGACCGTTCCCTTCTTTTGGTCCTATGTAAATCCCACATTAAAAATGGAACTTTGACTCTGACAAGCAGAGTTAACCGCTTGTTAACCACTTGCATAAATGGCTTGCAGTTCCGCATGTTCCCAAGGCTCAGAATCTCAGGAACAGGTGCAAAAGAGAGGGCAGGTTTGGGACCTACACATTCCCCCCAGAATGCCCAAGGATCCTGCTGCTAATGTTGTGAATGATCTGCCACCCACTCTTCATCGTGCCTTTGGCTACAGCTGCTGGCAACAGTTCCCAGAATTAACCAAAGGGAAAACAAAACAACCTGCAGCCTCTGGGGACAACGCCCAGTGCGGGAACTTGGACTTGGCAAGCTCTCTTCCCATCTCAGCCGTTGTCCGTCCAAGGCTCTCCATTCCCACCCATGTGCCACTGCAAACATTTTCCAGAGCAGCTTTTCAGAGCAGCCCACAGGAGCCCGACTTGTCTTACCTTTGTCCTCCGAGATGACCTGGACTAGCTCATAGTTCTCTGCAGGGTCGGACTCCAGGTTGTGCTTCAACATTGCCCTCTGGATGACGGCCGGGGTCTTGTCTTGGCTGGTCAGCTGGAAAGGGAATGTTGCATGCATGCCTTACTTGCAATCTGAAATCCAGGCAGGCTTTTAATGAGCTGCTCTCCGCTGTTGACACAGGTGGCACTAACAGGGACATCTCTTGTGGGAATGGAATCGCCACTATTTGATAGACATGGAGCATTCCAGTTTGGACATGCCTTAAAAATGTATCTATTCTTCTTGACCATTTCTGGACAGTCCACAAGCAAGCCACCCTGTAGGAGTCAGTCTGGCTGTGCTTGACTGCCTGCCATCTCTGCTAAAACACAGAACCAAGAGTGTCAGAAAAGTCCACATCAAGATACCCTGAAATGGTGTGTGTGTGTGTGTGGTTTTTAAAGGGAACGGGAACAATTCCACACACAAATGCTGATAGTTCTGTGCCTTAAAATGAATGCAGAAGGTCGAAACATAACGAATGGTTACACCATTGGTTCAGTCCATTGGTTCAACTACCTCACTATGGTTTTCTCTACTCAAAGGAGATTTCCATGGTTCTAGACTGAAATCTTTCCCAGCTCTGCCTGGAAACCGTGGGTGCCAGACCTGTTTGAGCCTGAGTGCAATGCACAAGCGTCCCAACGGAACAGTAACCCTCAAATTGTCCAGGGGCATAAATGGCCCCCGGGCAACCAGCCCTTGCCGCAATTCTCATCACATACCATGATGCTCTTATACATGTTGCCATTATTGTCTTCTACGCTGATACGGATGATGCAGGTATCTTCGTTCTGTTGGTTGTGAAAAGGAGGCGAGACCGTTGAGGTAATGGAGGTGACCGAGACGGAGCGTTTGTGGATTCTGGGGTTGCTCGCCATCAGAGGAGGAGACAAGAGCACATTGGTGAAGGACGACACCCCTGATGAAGAAGTGTCCATGGAGTGGATGGAGGAACACGAAGAGGAAGACTCTGAGAGCTAAGGGAGGAAATGCAAGTACAGAACCTTTGTTTTACTCAAGCTTGATCTTCGGAATGACTCACTACCTGCTGAAGGCTGGGGGAAGATGGAGAGCAGGTCCTGAATTCAAGGACAGGACATGTCACTCGTCCAGCTCCCGAGTAAAGCCTATCACTGGAAAATCCACGTTTACTGCAAAATAAGTTTTCCCCTGGCATGTTCATTGCATCATGCATGTGGGGAAAGGGGGCAAAGTATGAGCTTGAAATCCCTACAGCGAAGGGAACATACTGTGTCTTGGCTCCGGAGAATAAAATACAGAAAATACGACACCTTGATGTCCACACCCAGTCATGCTAGGTACTCATAACACCTTGCCATGTGCCATTTGGCCCACCTTGTTTTGACGAAAGGCACAAACATGGCACATAGTTGCATTTTAATCATATTCTGTATGAACTAACGTTGTTACAGGTTTTTTCTTTTCCTTAGTACAAGCAGTCTTCCCCAGGCTGATGTCTTTCAGGTGCTTGGATTATGGCCAGAAATGCAGGAAATTTTAGTCCAAAGCACCTAGAAAGTAACAAGCTGGAAAGGTTGGGAAGCCCACTTTAAGGGGAGATGGTTTCTTTCTTTTTTTTTTTTTTTTTTGCATTTTAAGAATTTGTACCCCCTTCAAGAAGTCTATGAAAATTCACCACCTCCTGTGAAAACCTTTCCCTCACAGACAGTCCCATTTAGTGCATCATTATTTTTCTGCAACTAGAGAACAGAAGAGGCTTTTACTCTGCAATGGTTCCATCTCGTTCAGAAAATTTTGCAAGGAGTCCACGGAGTTGATCTTCCGTTCATACCCTTCCCATGTTTCCTTACCCCTTCTACTTATTTCTTACTACCAAAAAAATTCCAGAAAAAGGATGAGAAAAGGATTAATTTGCAAGCACTGCTTTCTGGAGACAAAGGCATTAAATATCTCTCTGAAGAGGTCAGGCTGTAGGTCTCCCAAAACAATTTGGAATTTGGATGACCTACAGCTTTTGTGAATTAAACTACACACCCATTAAAATCTTTCCTGCATTTCAAGAAACCTGCAGGCAGATGGCAGCAAATGCCAAGCGGTTTGGACAACGGGTCCGATGGGGCATCTCTCAGCCGCCGCGCACGTTTCCTGTCCCATTCATGGGGAAGCCTTTGGCAGACACCTCCAGGGCTAACACAGTGGGCATGGCTTTGGCTTGCTAGAAGCCCAGGGGTAACCATAAAAAGAAACATGGCTTTCCCCAGCACTAATGTATTGGCTGCTACGTGCCAGTCTTTCTCCCTAGATAATAATTTTAAAAAACCCCGCGAAAATAATTTGCAGGTATTTACGGAGAACCTACTTTCTTCTGGGGCTCGTCAGGAGTGTCGGTGGGGGTGATGCAGATGTCCTCGGACTCCGAGTGGTTTGACTCGCAAGACGAGACGCTGACGGAATCCATGCTTTCGCCGGAGCTCCCGCCCGGTGTGGTTTTGGGCTGGTCTTTGGTAGGGGTGCTATTAGCAATTATGTCAGATCCCAGAAACAACCTGGCCCAAAACAGGGGAGCAGCAGATGAAAGGGGAGCAGAGGGGAGTGAGGACATGGCGTGCATTCCAGGACAGCCTGGTCCAAGAGGGAGACCCATACGGCCTGTTTCATTCCCGTTTTCATATGCCACTATTACGGCGTATCGCGAGTGGGAAACCTTTCTTGGCTCTGGGCAGCCATGCAAGGGGTGGGAGAAGCTGCACCCCAAGGTCCCCACCACTGACGTGCAACCCAGTCTGGCAACCCACCCCCCTCCTTCACATGCTTCCATGTAGCCTGAAGTGCCTGATCCTGCCTAATCTTGGAAGCTAAGCAGGGTCAGGCCTGGGCAGAAGTGGGATGGGTGACTTCAGTGTATGATTCTATGAATATTGCTGTCAACTGCCTAGAGAGCTTTGGCTATGGGCAGTATAAAAATGTAATAACAATAATAACAATAACAATGCATGCAAAATCACACACCCACACACCTCTCCTGTCCTCCCCTGGCTTTTAAAAAATCCATGCTGCAGTGTGTTTGTGTGGGGAGGGGGTGAGTCTGGGGCTGGGGGTCAAGTGCTGTGGAGGGGGCCGTAAGCTCTGCCACCTCCTCACGTATGTCTTGGGAGAAGTGCTCTTTTCACAGTTGCAGGCAGAATGCCGGCAAAGCCGGAGTTTCCTCTCTGGGGACCGATCTCTTCCCCATCTATAAAGTCCTATAGAAAATAGGAACACCCTTGGAAACCCCAGAGTTGCACCCAGGGGGGCACATTGCATATATTTTACAAGAAGTGGATACACAAAACATGGGTGGCTTTCATACTGGGAGAGGAAGGAAGCTAGATCCCATTGAGTATAATTCCCATCAGCCAGCTCCCCTTTCAGGGCAGCTCCATTTTCCTGGTGAGAAAGTAAGTTTAGAAATGGAGCTGGAAGCATCTTTAAGAGCGAGGCTCTGCATTGATGGAGAAAGCAGATGATGCTTGCCGGATCGTGGCCACTGGTACTGAAGGGCATCCCTCGCACCAGTCCACCCACACCGGCACCCACCGCTGGCCCACTGAACTCACAAGCTTAACCGCTTCACCATGCTCTTCCGAGGCTTTGGCGACGTGGTCGTCGCGTCGACGGCAGCTTCAACCTCGCACGAAAGGGCATAGCTGAAAACGAGAGGTTACGGCGACATAAGATGCAGCTACCCTGAAATAGATCCCCTGCATCAAAGCAAAGGTTTGGCTGCCAGCTGTGAATGACAGCGGACGCTTGACTTCCGGTCTAGCCTTTAGTTAAACAATAGGGAACCGCTCTCGTTAAAACGATGATTCCATTAGTTGAGATAAGTTGCATAAACAGGGCCGCGTTCTAGTCTTGCTTCAGGGATGAGTTCAGTAATTACTTTGCAGAGTTAAAGCACAACGCTCGGTATTGAAAATACTTCCTCACAACAAAACAGGCTGCATCTTCAGCTTATTCTTCTCTGAGGCCCAGTTTAGAGGAGAGGCAGCGAGGAACATAACTGTGCTTTCTATCTCAGAAAGAATGAAGATGATTCATCTCGGGAAGAATGGACATGCGCAACGTCACTTGCAAGCCAGCCCTGGTATTCTGGAGTACGCATGTATCAGAAGGGGGACAAGAGCGAGGAATGGGACACGGGTGCACACAATTCCCATTCCCGTAATTTAAGGTGCAATTCTCTGCTTGTTCAGGGAGAAAACAGGTCTACAATTCCCAGCTTACCCGCACATGCGCAGAATGCAAGCATGAAAAACAGGGGAGGAGAAATGAAAATTTGCATGCGCTGAGGAAAGCTAAATGGAACAGGGGGAGGAGGAAGAGGAAGAGGAAGTGTGTTCAATAGCTAAGTGGATGTGTTACATATGCAGTGTACATTGCTACGGATGTTGGCTGGGCACATATTGTAAACCACCCAGAGAGCCCTCTGGGCTGCTAGGGTGGTATATAAATGCAAATAATAAATAAATAAATATTGGCAAATATCCACAGCCATTTCCTGGCTGGGTCATTTGAAAAAACCAAGGGACGTGCGCAGAGCGAGCTCTGCCTTGAGCCCCCGAGAGTCAGGGCTCTGGCAGGGTTTCGTCAAACCACGGTTGTCTGATCCACAGCTAAGAATGTTTATCATGCTATCACATGCCGCCGAAAAATGCTGGAATGGCTGGAGGAGTCCGGAAGATTGTGCGAGGTCAGTTGGGTCACTTTGTAACCTCAGTCTGTGGAGCCTGGCTCACATTAAGAGCTGCTTCTTTCTGTTTGGTTGCACTGGGTGTGGGGGGGATTTCACGATAATTCAGAGCTTCTCTACACTGTATGCGGCCGGGAGGAGAATACAGAGGAGAAGGAAGAGGATGTGGGGGATCTGATCTTGCTTGGGCAAGGACTGTTTTGCCAGGCAGCCATGCAAGAGCAAAGCTGGGGAAGGAAGGACGGAAGGAAGGAAGGACGGAAGGACGGAAGGAAGGAAGGACGGAAGGAAGGAAGGACAGAAGCAAGCAAGCAAGCAAGCAGGAAGGGAGGCAACTTCACAACAACCGCACACACAGAGAACACAATCCGCAAACAGACTGCACAAAGTCAATATAAAAGCCGGCTTGGAAGTTCCCGGGGGCTGAAACGCTGTGAGATAAAAAGGATTAGGAGATGAGCTCTTGTGTATGAGAGGCGGGGGGTGGGGGCAGGGGCTGCCCACACAGATCAGTGTCTGATGGCCCTGAGACAAGTTTTTGGATGATCCTGCAGAGAGAGTCAGGAGACCCTGTTGATGGGGGTGAATCAGTGGGGGATCCCCCAAAATTAGGCACAGGGGTTTTCTCCAGGCAGATCTTCTTCCTGTCACAGAAGGCAGTCTGCACATTTCAGAATTGTCTGCCTTGCCATCTGCTTGCAACAATGGCTCATAATGGTTCATAAAAAAGCCTTTGTTCCATTGTCTCCTCTGACGGATGTGAACACCTGAGAGGACGGCGGGATTGCGAAAAACAACTTCATTATTCAAACACAAAAAGCGTTCGCTCACCTCTCCTCCTCCGTCAAATGTCGCTGTTTCTTGAACCACTGGATGAATTTTCTTTCTGAAGTCATGCAGTAGCTGTTACAGGAAGACTGCAAGAGCTTAATCTGAGCAATTACTTCAAACTCCTGAGAAAGTAAACAACGGGACGGGAATCCATATGAGCGAACAGCATCAAATCGAGCAGAGGATCAGACAGGCACGGGACAAGCAGAGGCGTGAAGCGTTGTGCAGAAGATGCACCGGCTTGGTGAGAGCAGGGAGGTGCTCCTTGCTCTGGAAGCACTTGCTCCGCGTTCCAGGGCGAGACATCAGCCAGGCTCCGGAGAGCCATCTAAGTGTGCGGTTTCCTCCCGACTTTTCAGTTATGCAGGGCGGGGAGGCAATTCCTGCACAGCTCTGCACATGGGCAGAGGCCTGTGGTTTGCTTTGGCTCAGTGCTTCCTGGATGCAAGGCAAGGAGTCAGAACAAGCCTCCGCCTTCCCTCGGGGTTCCACAGCGGAGGGCTGCTGATGGCAACAGGGAAACGCGCCTCCGTGTGGTGGGGAGCTGGAGCGCCACCTGCTGGGGGGAGACAGAAGCTGCCGGCATGGCTCTGCTGCCCCCTGCTGGTCCTGGGCACAGGTGCCAAGGCTCATCTCTGAGCGGGCCAGGCAGAACCTCTGATGGGAGTTGTAGTCCAACACATCTAGAGGAGACCCAGCTGGGCAGGCTGATCCTAAGTCCCTTTCTGGACTCTTCCCAACACTAAACCACTGTGCGTAAGGCAGATAATTTCCACTTCTTTACGCTGCTCATGGAGACTCGTCTTTGCATGACCACTCAAAGCAGGTCAGGAGAGGAGAACACACAATCGTCCTCCATGTGTTTGCGTTTGCAGGCGCATTTTTCTGGCTGCAGCTTTTTCCCCAGAGTCCTGCTGCCTCACAATTACAGTTGGAAGGCAGCTTTACTACCTATCCAGTGGCTTCATCCCTTGCCTCCCTCTGAAGCCAAGAAATTAAATCCCCGGAGTCCAAGTTGTAGATCATTAAAATGCCAGTGAATGGTGGAATGCAAAATCAAGCTTACCCGCCTCCTCTTTTCAAAGTTTATGAGCCCTCCCTGTAAGAGACAAGAATACAAGAACGATTTTCCAAATCCCTGCTTCTATATCACCGCAATTTAACGATTATACAGTTTTAACAGGGACGGCAAAATGGTTACATAGCAACCTCTTGGGTTCCTGTTTGCCTCTCAACATGTCAGATCTTTCAGGGCTGGTTTTCTGTGATGGTGCCTCGAAATCGAAAATGTGGAGGGCGTTTGCAACCCCCAAGCCTTACTTTCAGCCTGCAAGGGGGCTCTGCCCCACCAAGCCCCCCATTCCTCCCCCCCAAACCTCCCCTAGGACAGAATTACTATTATTATTATTACATTTTGTACAGCCCATATGGCTGGGCCATTTACAGCAATAATCAAGGAATCATACACTCAATCACCCATCCCAAATTCTGACCAGGCCTGACCCTGCTTAGCTTCCAGAACTAGGCAGGAGGAAGCACTTGAGGCTACATGGATTTTCACTGCTGCCACTAAACGGAAAGAGTTGCATATTCCAGGATCCCTGAAGAGGGTCTGTGCGCATGATTATGGATTGGGTGCATGTGGGCATTCGCAACCAGGCGCAGCCCTCGGGGGCCTAATTTTGCACACCCTTGGTTAAGAAACACGCAATGGAAAGCTGGGAATGTTGCCGGTCGCCCTCATTCGACAGGCATGGACTGGTGGTGTAAACCTACCTCCACGTAGTCCTGAAGAGCCGTGTCGAGCATCGTCAGGTCAGTCAAAAAGGTACCGAGGTAGGGAACCGTCCCCTGCATCACGCCCTGCAGAAAGCAAAGTGCATGAGGGTCACTCATCTTAGCCCACTTTCCACTCTGGTGGCTGCCTGCCTGAGCTCAGCACGCTTCCTCTCCATCGACCTACCTGCCCTTCAGAGCCGGGTGACACATTCTACTTTCTTTCCTAACCGTGACTAGCTAAGGATCGCTCCCATGTTCCCCTGCCTGTTTCCACGGGGGCTTCAGCATGGCTGCTTTTTGCACAAAGTGTGATCTGACAGTGTGCGATGCACAGTTGTGGGCTGGTTTTCCCTGGGAAAATATAACTGGGGGCACTTCACAGATGGGTTAGAAGACATTTGCACTGAGCGGGGCTAGTTTTAACCTTTGAAGTGGCTGCTGTTCTCCTTGAGTAGCTACTATTTGACTTCTTAATTTTGCTCATTTATTTTATTTTCCTCTTCCACTGCATAGTTTGGGCAGTGTCATATAATGAAACAGTGCTCGCACAAACATATAAATCAAATGGATCTGATCAGACCGTAGAGTCAAAATGTTTTGAACTGGGGCTGGACTCCAATTTAAGAAGGGCCTGGCGGTGGGTGGAGGGAGGCGTTCCATCAGTGGGTGGGGCTAAGGGTTCTGGGGTGGGGCCAAGGGCGGAGGAAGGCAAAGTGGGCAGGGCCAAATGGAATTCCTCCTCATTTGGACATTTGCCCAACAAGCATGCAAACACCACTCTGTTGTAAGCAAGTTCTGCTCAGGAGTAAGCCCCAGTGCAATCGTTCCCATACTTGTAAAAGCAATATTTCAGTGTTGTGCAGGGTATTTAAAGGTTAACCGCCTTTAAATACTGCTTTATCTCCTATCTGAGATAACAGCAAAACAAGCCTTTAAATAGTCTCTTATCTCCAAGCAGGGATCAGAGATAACAGGAAGTCAAGTTTGTGGCCAAATGAGGAACTCCTGTGAGCCAGGCCATAAGGTTGTCCTTCCCCAGCCCTTTTCCTAAGAGAGGGATCCTCTCCCACCAGTCTCCGCTTGCAGGAATTCCCCACAGGGGAAGAAAGCAAGCAATTCCTACATCAGGAACAGATGAGGACAAAATCAGTCCATTCTCTCTGACTGTCGCATCAAATTTAAGTTGTTTTTTTAATAAAAATAATGCAAGGAAACCAGCCTTTCTTCGACAGGGGAAAATCATGCACAAAGGAAAGTTCATTCAAAGAATGATCTAACAGCAGACAGAAAAAAACAGTTTGCGCTTTAATAAAAGAACAAAACAAGGCCTGAGCAGAAGCTGGCCTCTGGGAAGGGCCCTTGCAACAGCCGTGGTCTTCAACTCTTCTATGTAGGAGAGTTCTATATAGACAAGTTTTCCATATTGACTTGAGGACGTATTCTATGGGGCATACTGTCCAAACCTACTTGGTCTTGTTCTTGAACTCAGAGTGCATGTGAAAAGAGACCTCACGCACCCACCAGTGATGGGAAAGGTCCATTGCTGGCCACATCTGATCTTCTCACTGAGGACCTCTTGATACATTTCGAAGGAAACCACCATTGTGGAAAATACAGGTTGAAAACCAGCTGCTGCAGCAGAGCCCCAGTGGCCCGAAGACTTAACGAGCAAGGGAAAGAGTTGCCAAGAGCGGCTGTTGTAATTCAAGCAGCCGCTCAGATGCAAAATGCGCTACAGCACAGGATTAACCTGGTTCTGAGCAGTTAGCCAACAATGGCTTGTTCCCAAACCACAGTCTAAGCAAACTACAATCCCTGAGTCTGGACTTCAAGGGGGTCGGTGGACTGCTGAAAAGCCTAAGCTTTAGATGGCCCCATCCATTTGAGCCCAAAGCCTGGACTGGAGCATTCATGGAGTGCAAAGGCATGGAACTCCTGGGTGGGGCACCCTATCTGGCCCCCCACAGCTCCCCAGGCCCCCTTCCCTAACCACGGACAGTTTGCTTTGCTTTGTTTGCTTCTGGGCAGCTTTTCTCTCATTCTGAGATAACTCTCCTAAGGCCTAGTTACTGGCATTAAGAGCTTTCTCTCTCACCATGCTCACGACTGGAATGCCTCTGTAAAATTAAGCTCTTCCTCAAAATGGCATTTGGCCCCTGAGATGGAATAAGACTTCTGTTCATGAGCAGTTTAACCTGCTGCTTCACTGTGGCTTTCCCTTTTTCATTGCAGGAGGAAAAATGCATCCCTTACATGTGGTTTATTCTGAAGTTTGTCATTACTCTTTCTGTATGTTCTATTGATCTACCTCAAGGTGGCGCTGTGGCACAGCTGCAATAGAGTGGAATTGCAATTCTACAGGGGGCTTTTGTCCTGAACTGAATTATAATAGCTGACTTTCCTTGCTCTTTTAAAAAACTGTTTTTAAGCTAGAAAAATGGCCAAAAACACAGGAATGGGGAGGGAAAAGATGTCAGAAAAAAGCCCTGCAAACTTCTGTGAACAAGGGATCAATTAAATGCCTTGTGTGGAGAAGCCCAAAGTTTCTGCTACCTGGTGCAGTGGGAAACATTTCACCTAACTCAAACTCCTAAGTTTGCATCAAGAATGGGGGATTGCAAAAATGACATTTCTACAAGAAATCTGTTTTCATATTCTTTAGAGAAGGGCAATTTCTGATTTTCTCTGGACCCATAAGTCCTTAACATCCTGGTCACTTCATGGAAAATTAAGGGGAAAGTATTCACCATATCTTTCTGCAGCTGAAGCCGCCTCTGAGTTCTCTTCTGATTCTCTTTCACGCTGCTATCCAAATTTGCAAATTTAGACGTTCCTTCCTGTGGTGTGATTAAAAGGGCAAGGAATTGACAAGTTTGTTAATGTGTCCTTTCCTAATCACAAACCATGCACCCTTCTCTTAAGTTCAGAAAACATGCAGTTCATCTTAACACAAAAAGAAAACAGAAACATGAAGTCCAGGCTTCTGAGTTCCCCGGCATTGTGAAGAACAGCTGCTCCAAAATGCTACAACCAACATTCGCTTGCAATTTTTTTTCTGGACTAGTTCAAGAGGGCTACCAGTTCTCCTGTCTTCTCTGAATCTGAGTCAAACACATCTGGACGGCGAACTTCCTATTTCTTGACAATTACGGGCTTTCTCTCTTCTTAAACATCTTGTCCCTAAACTATGTTTTATTAATAAACATTTCCCCCTCTGTTATGCAACACTTGGGTTTTTTTTCTCATGTGCTTGCATCGGGATAGAGTGACTAATAGCTCTGCTTTGCTGACTAACAAGAGACGGTCAGGAAATGAAAAGATTTCTTTTTCCATGCCTGCAATTCAGGCCATGGGGACTACTTTTTCAATAACTTTATGAATGGGAGCTATATTTCACAACACTTTTTGATCTTCCTGCACAGCCTGATGAACCTATTCTCATTGTCCCCCAAGTTGCTTTTATCAGCAGTGGTAGGGGTCAGCAATCTGACATCACTTCTCAGGCGCCTTCACAGGAAATAATGGTTCCAGGGTGGGACTTTCTCCAACATCCCCCACAATGAAGACTGACACAAAGGATTAATTTATCTTCTCTGCTATCTCCCTGTCTTCCTTTCATACCTTTTTCACCAAAAAGTGCCCCCTGGCCGGTTTGCTGCTCTTAAAGTATGGTCATTTATCCAAGCCAGAAAAGTCATCCCAGTTCATGATCTGTACAGTTATGATGTGAGAATAATTAATAGAACTGAAGTCATTCCCTTGTACAAGATTTTCTTCTTGTGGCAGTCTTCCTGATTTTTAACCACCAGAGCCCCAATCAGGTGGAACTGGGAGGGATAGAGACATAGAAACAGGGCGAGTCAGAAGGGGTCTCCCAGGCCATCTAGTCTGACCCCCGGCTCCAGGCAGCTCCAGTCATGACATGCCCACCGTGTGCATGTCAGAGTACAATATATCTTTCTGAGCCTGGTATTCTTCACAGAGTGGCTTGGTTCTGACATAAGAACCAACCAGAGTGTGGGTTGATTACAGATTGTTCTTGAACTGTGGGTTACTGTTCCATGAGAAGCTAGCCCTAGAGTTTAACTATAGGTTGTTAACCACAGACAATTAAGAGTTTACAACAACTGAGAGTGTGAGTTGTTGGACCAGGGTATAGTTAAACTGTGAGTTAGCCACAAACAATCCAGAAGTCAGAACCCACCAAGGTAGTTTGTGGTTAACCTATAGTTAAAGCATAGTCCAACAACCCACAATTCAGCAAGAGCCCTGATTCAACAACAACCCACACTCAACCCATCTACTGGGTTGTCATGATGTGCAAACCAGGCCAGGGATTCTGTAACTGAACTCTGTCCTCTAGAAGTTTGGAATTTTATGTAGTCAGTACCTTCCCTGCCAGGGAAAGCAACAGTGAGAGTCAGTGTGGTGTTGGACTAGCATCCAGGAGGACTTAGTCCTTGCCTGACTTAACAGAAAAGATGTCCAGACAGAAGAAAAGAACCTAGTGGATTAAATATCTACACGTACGTACAGATGTTTGTTTGCCTGGCATCAGCTGCTGTGTATTTCTGGGTAATTCTTAGACTAACTTTCATGGGGTTGGAACAACTTTTGCACGCACCCGCTCGCAAGTGGCACATCAGTGTGTCAATGCCAGTTAGGAGAAAATCTGTGTGCGGTGCTCATGGTGTTTAAAAATAACATGTTGGTGGCACTTGCTGTTGTCTCCTTTCAAAGCCAGAAGTGAAGGCAGAATCTCTTACCCTCATGAGCAGCTCTCGGCTTGTTAAATAGTTGTCCTGATCTGAGAAAATTTCTGACAGTTCTTCAAATATCAACATTTTGTCCCTGCGCAAGAGGAAAAATGGAATGGAAGTGAGGTATTCAGGCAGCCAGAAACAAACTCATTTGCTTGGCTGGTTGTGATGAGATTGGGGTGTTACGGTCTTGTCTGGACCAGAACCCTGAAAATGCTACCTTAGACATTCTGGATCTCAGTTTCTTACACAGCCAATTGCCTTCCGGGACCTCATGAGCAACACAATTCCCAAAATAATTCACACTGTATGATTAGCTACTGATTCCCGCCTAAGACCTACCTAGAGGCCACGCAATATCCATAATTTTTGCATTAGTTTTCCTGACAGGCTGTGATTATCTTTTTATCAAGGCATCAGCCCAGGAGCTTTTCTATGCGGGACAATTACCATGCACTTGTTATGGTCATCTACGGGCTCTTTTGATGATGACGTGGTCCTTCATTTTCAGTTCTGCTTGCAAACAGCCCTTTCAATGACTTTGCCTTTTGGGCAAAGAAAATGGGGTGTTATTTCTGATGGCAAAAAAAACCCCCACTCGCTTTTCGCACTGTTCTGCTATGCCACAGTGCCACCTAGAGACTAAGTGAAAGAAACGTAAAACAGGACATGCTCCCGGTGTATTGATCAGATCTCAGCTCTGTCACAAAATCGAAAGCAGATGCAGTGGATTAAAAAAGACCCAAGCCGGGCCGCAAGGGACATCAGGACGTGATGTGGGGAAATGATGAATCCAGTCTCTTCTATTAAAGAAACTTTTAAACTTGCAAGAAAATGGCACCCACTAGATGAGAATGTGCCTTGATTCTACTCTCCATGAACATTTCCTGAGTAAAATGACCACCCTCTTTGCTTTGCAGGGGGAGACATGCGGGTTCCCCTTTGAGCCGTGCCTATTTGCTTTCTCAGTCCGATGGAGCTGCAGTCTGTAGACCTCCTTCCCAAACTCTGGCCAAACAAGAGTACTGCAAGGCGAGCAGCCACAGCTGTGGAGACAAGTCATTTCCTGATAGAGTCAGACTAGATGCAGCAAAGCAGAGGTCTTGGGCCAAGCTTTCTTGCCAAATGTGCATTCGCCCATTTAAATATTTATTTAAAGTCTTGTGATTACTGACCAGCTTTGCTTTCTTCATCTCTCCCACTGACAACTGAACAGGATCTGGGCCTGGCTGGATTTCCCTAAGCCTATCCCCAGATTGTCACAGAACCCAAATGGACATCCCTTTAAATCCATATTTTGCAGTGACAACTTTTTCCATTTTAACCCCCTCTAGATTAATAATGGGAGGTGGAATAGACGTAGCTGCTAGATAAGGGATGCAAAACAATGCCTGGCTTGGCCGACAGGCAGGAGAATTCCAGAACAGCAAGACCAGCCACTGGGAGTGGGGTTACTTCAATTTGACGAAATCTGGGAGAAAGTCCTTACTTTGCAACAGACGCCCAACACTTCTTTAACCGATAGATGGAGTTGGACTGTAGTGCCGAAACGATGGCCCTCAAAGAAGAAAAATTCTTTAAAATCCTACATTCCTGCAAAGGGAGTGATTAAGAAAGAGAAGAGGGTTAACCATCAGCATTACAACCACCGGGTGGTTTCCTCTTTTAGGGGCACTGCAGCTGCCACAAATTCTTACTGCTAGAAAAACACCTGAACAAATATTGCACAAAAAGGTCTGTTCTGCCCTGCCCAGCTCTGAAAAATACTTAATATAAGTTTTGGCACTTGACTCTTGTTTTCCTCATTTTTAACTTTTCTAATGAATTTTATTTTGGTAGTGGTGCTGTTGGCTGAGTTCTACCATTTCCAGTTTCCCTAGGTGCAGTGCTAGCAAAGATGCCTCGTCACAGCCCAGCTCAAGAAGAGCATCTTCTCAGACATGTATACAGGCTGTTATCTCCGCCAGAAGATTTCGGATTACGAAGCGCCTGGGCATGGACAGGAGAGGCTTTTACCCCAGAGCAAAACTGGTTGACAAGTACCAAGTGCAAAGTCTTTCCAAGGAATTAGCTTAAAGAACTCTGGCAAAACAGGGAATCTACCCAAACGCTACCAACTATTGCTTGATCATAATGCATAAAATATTGCAATCATTTTCTCAATGTATACAAGTATTACTTTAGAAGCCGATTGTTTGGATTTTCATCAGCATTTTCCAGTATGCCCTGGGTCTAATCCTATGCATGCTTGGACAGAAGATGTTAAAGGACTTTGCAACCAATGCTTGTTAACTGATCTCCACTTTTATTGGAGACCAAACACCCCCTGTAATAAATACACACACACACACCTAGAGGGATTACTTCCCCTCCACAGACACCCCATTCTGAAAATCTAGGGAGACGGAACAAAACAAGTGTTTACGTGTGCAATATTGATCCACTTCTCGATGATCTTAGCCCGCTGCTGAGATTTTAGCTCTTTGCCACTCAAGATGGTTCTGACGACACATTTGGTCACTGCATTGAACTGCGCGATGGTGGCTCGGATGGTGGGTGCCAGATGTTTGTTTTCCTTCTTGTCCCTCCGGGACCAGATGCAGCCCAGACAGTGATGTGGCACCACCCTTTTAAAGAGTTTCTAGAACACACAAGGCATCAGTGCAGCAAAAGAATTAGATTCCTATTAGAAGTACCATGCTGAAATGAACATCTGTGCAGCAGAAATATTTATCTATATATCTGCACTTTCTCAGCAAATTACCTCTAGTTTATGCCACTGGTAGGGAAAGAAATCTTTCCTAAGCATTCTGCATAGCCAATCTGGAACCTAACGGTCAAGCTGAGTTCTTTCTGATATTTTATTTCATCAATTAAATAGGCAATCAACAGCCAGGATTATATTTATCATTCCAGTTCCCTCCATCAACACAGAAGAAGATAATCACATTGTTTTTGGATGGAACCAGACAAATATTAAGAACCTGTATGAGCAGACCATATTTCTGACAATCTGCTTTCCCAAATACCCAGTCTGATTTCATAAATGTTTTAACGCTTTTGTCTGGCCACGCATGACTGAAGCACTCAGATTTTACCTAAAGCAGAAATACATAATCAAAGAAAGTAGCTGAATTTCTCTTTTCTGCTAAAGAAGAGTCATAAACCTTACTCGACCCTTAGCCAGCACCGACAATATCAGATTCCCATGATTTCTGTCCATCTGTATTTGGGCAATTCAGTGCACAAGAAAGCTTGAGCATCCAAAATGTGACCTTTGCAATCACCGTTTTTGACACAGCTTTGAGCAGATGTGTGCAAGGCAGCTTTTGGCTATGAATAATGAAGATGTCCTAGCTGGTCTCCACTGCTTGTAAGAATCACCTCCCTAGGGAAATGTGATCCTTCAGACTGTTTTGGGAAGAGATGTTGCTGGCCCAGCATGGACACCATGGTGAAATAAGCTTAATTATGGTTTCCAGGAGGCACGAATTGGTCTAGACTTGTTTACAAAACCAGAATCGCAAACACGCTGTTCGAAGTAGGTTCACCACCCACAGTTTGTGACCTTGGTGGTTTGGCAGGACGTCCAAACTGATCAATCGTCAAATTCCTGCTTGTTTGCCTCCCAAGACAAGAGCATCACAAAAACAGGACTACTGAGCAGATGGAAAATAAAAGCAGACAAACAGCCCTGCATCCTGAGCTACCACTGCATTGGAATTTAGCGATTGTCGTATACATCTGTTACTATTTTCCTATACAGCTTCGCAGCCCTTTTGCATCCTGTTTTTGCTTCCAGCATGTTGAAAGTCATCTGGTGCAAAATTATGCTAACACCATGCAAGAGTCATCTAATGGATTCAATTAATTAAATCATTAATTACAGATGAGTCAAAGGGCCAATTCACACAAATCTTGTTATGAGATGACATGTAGGCATTTACGGAGGATATAACGGTATCTCAGAAACTACTGGCGTGCTGCTGGGGGAGAGCTTTGCAAATATCCTGCACTGACAGGAAGAAAAAATGTGGATCCGCAGCTAAATGAAACCAGAGCTTTCCTTAGAAGCAAAAATGACAAAGCCGGTGAGAGGGCAAAACTCCCCAGAATTTACAATAATGCTGGGGAAAGTCAAAGGCAGAAGAAAAAAGGGAAGTCCAAATAAGAAATGCATTGATTCTAGAAAGGAAGCCACGGCCTGGAATTTTCAAGATCTAAGCAGGGCTGCCATGGGTAGGGCATTCTGGGGGGCTTGCATTCATAGCGTCGCCCAAAGCTGGAGAAGACATGACAGCCCATCGGAACAACAGAAACTACTGCACAGCTTCATTATTCAACTGAAACCATTTTGCAAAGTGTTGAAACCGAACACATTTTCAAATACAGAAAGATGGATTTCGTTGCTCACACTTCACAGGGAGGAATTAGACATCTGAATGCTGGAATCCACATTTGACACCGGAAATATTGGTACTGGTATATTGGTACTGATATCAGCTGCATTTGCAGTGATCAGTGCTGACAAATGTTAATCTGCGGCTGCAGAACCTTTGCATGCCAAAAGCCGATTCATCAGTCCACTACCAAATCATAGCTGGATGTTTATGAGAATATTCACCCACAAAAGTTGCAGAGAATTCTGAGGGAAATTTGGGGCAAATTGACTTCAGTTCTGCCAACTGGGGAAAAATATGCCGCCATTTTCTCTCACCCTGAGCGGCATGTCGAGCAAAGAGGGAAGTTAATGGAGCGAGTCAGTTCTCCATGCTGCCTGCTTCTGCAGGCCAGAAGAGCACCGGGTCTTCTGCTTGTCACCGAGAAATAAGAAAAACAGAAGTATCGGCATCAGTGCTTGCAGCTGAGTTTGAGGAACCGAAGCTGCAGAAGGGACTGTTGGATGGGAAAGACAGGGCTTTGGCCTCCTAGCATGACTGCCGTGGACACTAGAAAACGCACAAGTCATTTGGTTCTCTGTTGTTTTCAATAGATCAATTTCTATCAACAGGGTCTATTGCTAGATTTACGACTGTAATCATTATTTTGGATTTTGCTGTTAGCTGCCTGGAGCACCATGTGGTAGAACGCCAGAACATGCATTAAAGCGATAAGCAACATTTCTGAGTCAGTCCAGAGCGATCTGTCTACTCACAGCATCCATGTAAGTTAGCTGCTCTGCCACAAGATCTTCAGGGAAAGAAGAGAACTCTTCCGAGCCTCTGGCTTCCATTTCTTCCTCAACAGCAGGCGTGTCATGAATTCCACCTGCGCAGGATACAGTAATATTTTGAGAATTGATGCAATGCCACCTACCGGTCTTATTTCATGGCGGTTGAATAGAACCTGAAGTCCTGCTCTGCAGAAAGCTTGGCTGGGACAGAAAATATGCTGATGGTTATCATCACTGATAAGGAAAAGGGAAGGGGCTGGGGGCAGGGGCGGGAGCAGAGGCTGGAAAAGACATAGGTAAGTCCATCCTTCCTGTATAAACGCACCTGGCACCTTAGATCTGCATCTGAGGCCCTTCGGAAGGAGCCCCCTCCTCAGGACATAAGGAGGGTGGTCACACGAGGAATGGCCTTTTCTGCAGTGGCACCCCAACTTTGGAATGAGCTCCCCAGAGAGGTTTGCCTGGTGCCTTCCTCACAGTCTTTTAGGCGCCAGGCAAAAGCCCTTTTTATTTCGACAGTATTTTAATTGTTAATTTGTTTTAAGTAGCATGTGAACTGTGGGTATGTCAGTACTGTGGTGCATTTTATACTGGTTTTAATGTTTTTATTTGTAATTGTTGTTTTATATTGTATTTTAATCCCTATTTTATATTTTATTTTGTTCTTTTTTTCTGCTGTAACCTGCCCAGGGAGCTGTATGGCTAATAAGGTGGGTTAGAAAATTAAATAAATAAATGACCAAAGGTAGAAAGCCTGTTTTCTTATCAATGTCGTGCAAAATATCCATTTTGCTATAGGAAGATTTCCTAAAAGTGATTGCCCAGAATCCCAAAAACACAAAGAAGGAGCACACAGCTAATGGAGCGTCTGTCTTGAATCCTGCACTGAGAAGCAATGAACAGCTTTGCTTTTGTCAGGGTGCCAAAGCTGGGCCCGAGGGCCAGATCCCGCCCACCGGGTTCACCCTTTCCCTTTCCCCCAGCCCCTGATATTTTGGCTGCTTCTTGCTTTCCATGCAGCGTGTCCCCCATTCTATAAGGCAGAAATTCTCCTCCACCAGAAGTTTTGGCCAGAAGAGCTTTGAGCTAAAACACAGCGGTATGCTTGGCCCTGCCCACTCCTGGAATGCGGCCCCAAGAGCGTCTTTAAATGAAATGTAATTTTCAAGCCAAAAGAGCTTTAACACCTCCAGTCCATGTGGAGCAAGCAGGATAAAGGACTAAACACACCATTCATCTGGAGCATCTCCTGCAAACGTGTTCTGAAAGGCATGGAAGCTAAGCTCTTGCGTGGCTCCTCATTATTTGGGCATGCCTGGGAGACCTCAGGAGATTAGGCCTGATGCAGCCTGGAAAATGTCGCTTCCAGGAATAAGTCATTCCAGAAAGAGTCGGCGCAAGGAAGGGAAACGGGAGCACTGCGTGATCATGGCGCGTGCATCCACCGGTGAGAGCAGGCGAGCAGATGTCTTGGAATGCCGTGGCCACGAAGGCAGGACTCCCTGAAGACTTCCGTCAGTGAGTCAAAGCGCTAGTGCTGCCTGGCAAGCACAGACACGGGCAGAAAAACTTGCTAGACGCCTCTTGCGTACGAGCCAGGCACTCCTGCAAGAGCTTAACAGAAAGGAGTTTCAGTGCATGCCACTGACTTAGCTTTTGCCTTCGTTTTGCTGTCTTGGAATCACAGCAGTCTGACTAATCTCCCAGACAAAGCTAGGGAGAAGCAACCACTTCGGCACCCTATAGGGAAGGGTTCTTGGGACGATTCTCGGGAAATTCTGTAGGGGCTCTGTGCAGGCAACTCCAGTCTTTTCCAAGCATTCCCACCCTGACTGGGTCTGCAGTCACATATCCAAGATCAAGAGGAGGTTCCCGGTACAGCTGGACATAGACAAGCTATGACTTTCTGACCCTTCCAACTCCACCACGGACCTGGCTGGAAACACGGGAGTCAGGCAAGTCATGGCAGCCCAGGAATGAGAAGCAATGGGCCTCTGCAGAGTCAAACCTGCTCAGGTGGGCAGAGTAAGCTACCAAGTAGGATGGAGATGTTTGCCAAGTTATCTAGGAGCACGAGGAGTCCCCAGAGAGCCTGAGCCCCCGGTGGGAGACGGTGGGTGGAGGTTGAAGGCCCAAGAATTCCCGGGCAAGAACATGTTGCCTCAATAAAATCAGTTTATGAGTCAGAGAGAAATCTACTTTCTTCTGATAAGCTGAAAAATCCTTCCAAAGACAGAAGAGCTTTAGTGATCCTTTGCTTCTAAGCCATGTGTTTTTATATTCCAGAGGAATTTAACCATTAAAAGACTCAAGCGTGCTTTTTACCCCACTGGAATCCCACCCTTCCTCCAGAGGACTAGGTACAACATGCAGAAGGTTTATTCTACTCCATCCTCAGAATGTGGCTGTGAGATAATAGATTAGGCTGATAATAGATGGATAGTTCATTTCAGGGCACCCAGAAACTTCATGGCTGAACAGGGATTTGGACCTCTTTCAGCTTAATCTATTTCACAGGAGAAAAGGTACTACCTTCAGCTTCTTGGGGAAATGGCCAGACTGAAATGTAATCAATAGGATATCATATATTCCCAGTCGGGTTCCAACATTCCAACCACTATGCCACATTTTCCTTCTTGTTGCTTCTGTTCCCTCCCTTCCTCTTCCTTTAATAGTACAGAAAAGAACTGCCATTGTTGTTGTGGCAAACACTGCCAGGAAGAAGAAAAAACGAAGGGACAAAGAGGTCCCTCCATGGCCAATGGCCATCTGTCCATCAACCCTTGCACTGTCCATCTCCTGACAGAGCAGTCTCCACACCCCCAGCAGCTTCATAGAATCATAGGAGAGTTGGAAGGGGCCATGAAGGCCATCCAGTCCACCCCCTGCTGTTGCAGGACACCATGTCACACCATCCCACTCAGGTGGCTGTCCAGGTTCTTCTTGAATGTCTCCAGCTGGGAGAGCCCCCCACCTCTCCAGGCAGCTGGTCCCACTGTCGTGTTGCTCTGACCATGAGGAAGCCTTTCCTGATGCCCAGCCTGAATCTGGGTTGTCGCAGCTTGACTTGATTATTCCGTGTCCTGCACTCTGGCATCAGCAAGAAGAGATCTTGACCTTCCTCTTTGGGACAGCCTTGGAGGTCCTTATAGAGGCATATCATTCTCTTGCAAAAACAACACAGCCCTTTGCATGTTTCTTATGCTATTCGTCAAACAGCCACAATTTTCAGCCGGGCCTGTTCTATGCTTCTCTCATGTCTCAGAACTGTGCAAATATTTTTAGGGGGGACCACAGGTTTTAATGGTGGTGCCGGTCACAAGGGTTTTAAGAACTAGGTTATGAAAAGATCGTAAAAGATCCAGCCATCTGCACTGCTGGAGTCAGAGCTATGGGTCAACACACGATTTGGGCCGATGCACAGGGTTTGCCCAAATCCAAGGGAGTTTATGCTGCACAGTCCTCTGCAAGATGGGCTGCCCGATCGTGAACAGCTTCCAAACTGGTTTCCGAAGCGCATGGATGTGTCTTGTCAAAGCACGCAAGTGACAAAGGATCGGGAGCTTCTGTTCAATCAATACATTGAAACCCCCTTTCCATCAGCTCCCAGAACCTGTTTCTCGGGTATCTGGATTCTGTCCAATGCTGTGCCATGAACTCTAAAGCGATCAGAAGCAGTGCCTCTCTTTCTCGCAACTATCTGCACCCTTATTTTATCCTCCGAATGCCCTTTGTGTGCCCAAGATCAGTATTAGCTGCTCTCAGTGAAATGCCTGCAACTCTGTTGAGAAATACTTCGGTCTTTTCACTCTTGTTCTCTGTCCTGTCTACTGTACCTAGGAAGTTCTGTGGGAACCGTCGCTCACCCAGTGAAGAGCTAATTATAGGCCTCAGCATTAGGCTTCCTTTGTTCGATCTGCTCCAACCAAATCCAGAAAAGAACATAATGAGACACAAATTAGCAACTCTTGGAAACTCCGGAATTTCTGATGAGGAAAAGCCATTTATGTTAGATGCGTTCGACCTTTAGGAAAATAACGGAGCAAATCTGTCTGACGCCAGAGCTGATTCACAGCAGAATTCAGTCATAATTTCTGGAACATTCGAGTAGGTGAAGTTTATGGGGAGCAGCAATACTGATCTTTATTGTACTCGTTTCTTATCTTGTACGATCACTAGCCATCTATTTCCTACCCCTTCTCTGGGCAAGCTGGATGTGCTTGCTGTTAACTTTCATTGTCTAAGTTTCAGTCACCTTCTAGCTATGCTAATTATGCCCGCAGGAAAACGGCTACCTCAGGAATGGGTGGAGAAGAGGGATTTGTCAGGCTTGCACCGCATTTGAGTGTGTCACTGGCGCTCACAATAGTTCTACTGGCACTTTGACCCGGTAACGTAAATTTTTCCTTTGTCCTTGGATGTCAGCAGCGAACTGCTCTGAGAGGAAAAAACAGCCGCTGATGCTTCCTTTGTCATGACAGCAACGAAGGAAAGACGTTCATGACGCAAACAGGGCAGTCCAAACAACCCTGCGTGGTCACAGAGAAGTAACACCAGGGAGCTATTTTGAAAGCGGACAAATCTGATTAGAGTAGAAGTAACTGTGAACTTACTTTGAAGACCTGCAAGCTGCAGTGGAGCGTCTGGTTATGCCAATGTCTCCAAAGCAGAGCAGAGGCTTAAAAATGCAGGCGCTGGTCATTTTCAGTGAGAAATAGCAAGCAAAAAACTCGATGATGCATGCTCGGGTGCTTGCACTGTGGTGGAGCAAGAGCAGGTGAGGCCTTTGTGAAGGACGTAGTTTAAAGCAAGGAATACACTTTGCTGGACGTTGCACCTGGAGTAAGCCAAACGACACCAGAGCATTCTGCACAGACGGACTTTTACAGATGGGCTTTTCTCAATGCTCTGGGATAATAGGCAACCAAGTACTTACTGTCATTTATCCGTTCTTCCTCCTTAAACTGTTCCAACAGGTGCTGCGCCCTCCTTTCTGGATCCGAGCCCGGCATGGTCCGTGTCAGATAACCCAGAAGTTTCTGCAAGCAAAAGTACTGAGGCGGCTCTTGGAAATCTTCCGCGCACTGATCCAGCCAGGCTCTCAGGATGGATGCGATGGCGCTGCAGGGAAACACGCAGGGAGAGGGTCGATGCTCGCCAAGATTCCCAGGCTGTTTTGCAAAAGCCTGCACAAAACGTCTAGACACCAGGGTCAGATTGAGGAAGAGCTCTCTGGATTTCTCTGAGATGCTCACGCAGAGGGAAGGAGACTATTCCGCTAGCATGTCCCCACCCGGTGAGCATGACTGCCCTCTCTATGCTCCCATTACCAGAACATTATTCCCAAGATTATATAAGATTCATAGAGAGCACTGCAAAGCTCACACGTCTAACTGGGTGCCAGTGATGTCCCACAGTTCTGAGAGGTTGAAATTTGTTTTAAAATTCTAGTGACATACATCATTGTGCAAATGGATATAGCAAGTAATTATGAACCATCCAGGCCCTCTGGAGATTAAATGATTGAATTTTCTTATGCGCATGAGAATTATTTTCTATTCTTACCAAATATCTACTTGCAAAAGCAGCGACTCTTCTGCAATTTCAGCAGAAGCTCATGTGGGATGAGAGAGTCATTACAAAAATGTTTCTGCATAAGTTACAATTTTTTATTTGTAGATTTTTGATGAGAAACAGACTAGAAATGGTGGGCCCGTTGGCAAATCCAGGTGTGGCAAAATGTACATGTAACTGAAGACTTCTGGAGAATGGAACTGGCATGGCTTTTATCTTTTGTTATTATCAGAAGTTGGAACCAATACATTGAAGCAAACCAACAGAAGGCGTGTGATGAAATGGTAACCAATCAGAAGAGAGCCTGTAGAAATGTGTTGGGTTTTCTAAGAACATGTCTGATTTTTTTTTACATACAAATATCTTGGCATTAGTCACCACAAGCCTTCAAGCCTGGATTCTTCATTACTTGCCCTACCAAGAGAAAACTTTGTCTCTTCTGTCAGTACATGTTCATGTACTCTCTCTCACACACACTCTCTCTCCCCCTGTCTCTCTATGCATGTTTGGGCATCTATGTTTGTTTACGTGCTTTGAAAATTGCAAAAAATATAAAATTACTTAACATTTTAAAGTTCTGGCACCCGTCCTTAAAATTAAACCTCCTTATTCTGACCTAAGCAGAAGGGGAAATTTTCATCTGATGCAATGATCTATCTCTGTATCTATATTTCAGATTTTAAACAGAATCAGTAGTCTTTCCCTCTACAGAGAATTTGGGAATTACAACTTGTGAAGACAACTAGGGACTTCCAATGCTCTTATCAAATCCTCAGTACTCTTTTGGGAAGTTAGGTCAGTTAAACCATTACAAAACCGGGGCCACTTTGCAGGGTAGAAAGACCCATCATTTCATTTTCACACAAAACTAAACTGTGAAGCTGTAGCAGCACCTGATTCTGCAACCTTCTCCCAGGTGTTTTTCTAAGTATCTTCTGAATTTTTTCCAATTGTCCACCCAACTCTCCTCTGAATGTGGGAAATGTATCTCATCCTAAATATCAAGCAGAGACTTGTCCAAGATGTGTCATCACAGCAAAGGTTGTGCAAAACTAAATAAGGCACACAGGTGGACTTGAAGCAGAACCAAAGATGAAAGATGAAATTTTCTTGTTATTTTTAGAACAGGAAATACAGAATGAAAAAAGGGCCATACAAGCCCAGTAGTCGTTAATATTTTAAGCTCAGCAGCCCTCATTGGGAGGATGTAGGTATTTGTACAGGAAAGCAGAAAAGACCTAGACAAACAGGATCAACAAAATAGCGTGGTTGGCAGGATGATGGGAAATGTGTCATGCTTTTCCTCTTTCTGAACAGCATGCCCATTTCCAGGCAGGAATTAATCCAGTCGACAGAGTAAATCTTGTTCTGCTTTCTGAAAATAAGCTGTAGCAGGTACAGGGCCCATCCAATTGCATTTTGAAGTCATGTTCCAGATATATGTGCCATTCTGAACCTATACAACACACAGGGGAGCTGGACCGGTTCAGAGACATTCCTTGAAATGCCCAGATTTCATTTCTTCATTTAAACAAAACACTCATTTTACAACGTTTGGGGGAGATCAAGAAAAATGAGCACCCAGCACCATGTCCAGAGTAGAGGTGGGCAACATGGGGCTGGAGGGAAGCAATGCATTCCTAAAACATCTTTCACAAAACCCATCAAATGGCCCTACACCTCGATCCTTTTTAAGATTAATGTATTTTCTTAGCTGCTGCAAGGATTTCTGTGTGTATACTGGAACTGAAAATGTAGGTCCAGATGTGTTGTCGAGTGTGTGGAGCTCAGCCCCTGCTTCTGCTTGTGCTCAAGTCTTCTGGGTGGGTTTGTTATGCCCTCCAGAACAGCTGTTTTGGAGAAGAAATTCTAGGTTCTGCCTTAAGTAAGGGATGGTTAATGCTGCCCCAAATTCTCTGATTTTCCTAAGTGTCGCTCCCAAAGCGGAGGATAGCAAGCCATTTTTATATCCTGTAAAACAGGTTTAACTTGTGCTCCATTTTACAAAGCAGCTCCACAGGCGACTCAAAAGAACTTGCGTGGGCGGCACGAGGCAGACACAGATGACAGCTTTTTGAGGGCGCTGAGGAAGGTTGGAAAGTGGGATCATGACTTTCTGTGTGCACATTTTCACCACTGATAAACGGGCTTTGAAATGGACTCAGAAGCATGCAAAACCTATCAGGCCATCAGTAGTAAGTCAGACAAAAGAAATGCAAGTGTCCTTCATGGGAGAGAAAAGTTCTCTGGCAAGCCCTCCATGATCTTTCTCAAAGGCAGGGTGACCATGTGTCCTGCCTTGCAAGGACAGTCCTCTCTTTGAAGGACTGGCTGGTGCCATGTTTGACTAAAGACCCATAAGAAGAGAGAGGGAGCTTGATGCTGCTTTTCCAAAATTAGCAAACTGAGCAGACACACCGTCTTCCCCACTATGGTGACATGTATTACATTTCCACTCAAAACACAATGTCTAAATTTCGTATCTACAAATAAATGGGCATGTAAAAACAAAAATGCAAATCTTGTTGGAAATACAGAATGAAAACCCTTGTTGAAAAGATGCTTCCTGGGCAGATTTTTTGGCAGTGCTTATGTGGCCATCCTCTGGAACTGATACCGACTGGAAGTACATGATCCAACAAACCATGATGAGCTGCTGCCCATGATGGTTTGCCGTGCTGTGCAAACCCAGACAGCCCATTTCTTGGTCTTGCACCTGCCTTGGACTGCTGTGTGTCAAGAGCCGGGTCTCCTCTTTATCCCTTTCAAACAACAGGCATTCCAATTGCACAAGCACCCTTTGTTTTCAAAACACAGCTAGCAAACCGTAGCAACCAGAGAGTCCCTGTGCATAAACAGGGGGGTTCATGGAACCCAAACTAGAAACTACTCCCGAGAATCCTACTTTTCAGGTACCCTGGACTGCACCCCACTGGAGAAAAGATAGCTTCCTGGATGGATGAGCCCTCTCCCGAGACCACATCATGGAGTCAGGGACCAGAGCAGACTCATCTCGTTCCTCTGCATGTCCCCTCCCTGCGGTTCCAAGCCCTGTCCATTCCCGAGGTCCATCTGAACACCTGGGGATGGGGGCCGTGAGATAACCCCCCTCCTCTTCCATCTCTCGGTCCACAGCCCTCACTTCCCAGCCCTCACAGTCCTCATCCGAAGAATCCGTGCCACCCTGCACCTGGAAAGCACGGCAAGAATAATTGCCTCAATTACCAGGGATCACCTAACAAAACACCTGGCCAGAGATGGAAAAACACCTTTATGTCCTCGCCAGGTGCAGCTGGGCACCCATCGCTGACATTTGGAAGCAGTTGGTGCTAGCCTGCTGCCCTCCTTGCTATGATTACAAAGAGATTTTGGCTTGCTGCAGCTTTTTTTTCTTCCTTACTCTGCCCATTCCCATCAAACCATGAAACTTGGCTTCACAGGACCTTTAAAGTGCCTGCACAGCACCCTGGAGGAGCTGCTAGCGGCTGATGGAACCTTTGGTTCTAATTCTTTTCATGCAAAGGATGCTGTTTATTTGTTTATTACGTGCACTGACACGACGATGGAGGTATGCAGCTGGACAGGTGTGGGACTTGGAAGCCTCAGCCGATGCCTGGAGAATGTCCTGGGGAATACCTACTGCCAGGCAAGGCAGGGATCAACCCCGGGCACCACCACCAAGAGGCTCCAGGTAGTTCTCCCCACCTCCGTTCGGTTTCTTTTGATAGCTGTTAAAGAGGCAGCCGTCAAGACAAACCAAAGGCATGACTGATCTTTGCTCACAAAAAGGGGACTTAAAGTTCAATTTGTACCGGCAAGATCCTCCACTTAATAAAAAAAATCACCCAGGGTGGCAAACCTGGGATTCCTGCTTCCCATTGCCTTTTCTTGAGGAAAATAGTTTTGAATTTTATTCCAATTATGTGCCGGTCTCAAAGGTAAAACAAATGCCAAAATACACGGATGACCAAGAGTAAAACAGCCGCTGGTAGAGTTAGGAAGCAAGGGATAACAGGATGTGGATTTTGCTGCAAAGGTGCTTGGGATGCATCCTGGAGGAGGGGGCAGGGGGAGCTAGAAGAACAGCTGGACGAATCCGGGCTGCTGAGCTTAGCCACACGGGGATTTAGTGTGATGTGCAAGCAAGCCCCTGTCCATCTTCCGCCTAAGAGATTTGGGGGTGACCCGGAATGGGGGAGCCACGAGCCAGTCCCACGCCGGAACGGCATGTGCTGTACACATATCAGACGTACACACAATTCCTGCCTTCACACTCCGTCCTGGAATGCGGGAGGAACTCTGCAGCTGCACTCGCAGGGGAACCAGCGCTGCCACCGGCTCCGATCCGTCCTCCACTCCGTTGGGCCCTTAAACGACAAGCTCTGCCAACAGCGCTTAGCGCTCACTGACTTCCTATCAGCTGACTGGCTAATCTGAGAGCAGCGCTCTCTGGAAAAAGGCTGGGCAAGTGCCCAAACTGTGCAGCAGCTTTACGGTTGATGTCCCTGAAGAGCAACTTGCTGTTCCAGTGCGACTAGGACACAGATAGGGCTAGGAGGCTTCCAGGATCTCAGAGAGACAACTGACATCACGAGGGAAGGCTGCTTGGTGTGAAGCCTGTAATACACCTCACTCTGTGCATTGTTCATTTGCTCCCAGTGCAATTTATAGCACTTGTCTTGGCCACTGCACATCTTGGGATCTTAGTCACGCTTTTGGAAGGCTCGGGCCTGGAGGGGCAGGTGAGAAGCTTCAGCTTCACAGATTTGACACGGTACACCCACACCCTTTGGGGAGCCAAGATCCACCTCTTGATAACATCCTGCGTAGGCACAGCAATCCAGGTCTGGGGAAGGGGAAGAGAGGAAGAACAGCTCAGTCTGCAAACAGTTGGAATTAACCTAGCCTTCGCTCTGGAATTCGCTTTTTGTTTGCTTTGTAATGAAACCAACCCATGGAAGGATGGTCAACTTGCATATTTGGACTCCCATCAGTGCTGGGACCAGCTCTCTGTGGTGAAGTGCCTCTCCTTGCCCATCAGCTACCAAAACATACACATCTGTTTGTGTCAGACACAAAGAGGGGGGAGATTTTCCTATGGCAGCAAGAGAGAAATGGAGAGGATTTGACATGCAGGAGACAGGAAAGGCAGAATTTAGCCTAAGTGACCACAAGTAAGTTAAAAACCCTCGCATACATTCCATTACGATTGCATTTTTGCTGTTGTTCAAAGCATACTTTGAAGGGAATGTAAGAAGTTGCATGCCTATGGAGACGGACTGATAGTTTGTCTGCTGTTATACCGCTGGCCTGAAGAACTATTTTGCAGGGAGATACCAAGAATGGAATCTGGGGATGTATATATTTATGTATATTTTCTTATACATAGAAAAGATGGGATAAGGTTAGGGCCTACAGCTTGTAGCCCTTGGTCTAATTCCATGCAGCCCGAGACTAATTTCTAAGGCAATTTCCATGTAATCAGGGTAGGAAAATGGAGTTAGAGAAAGAGAGTGACCCCTCCACATTCAGCCTCAAGTACTACACACCACCAACTTTTGACGCCAAGTTATTAGGTACTGAAGCCTTCAGAAGTAACAAAATGACCGGCCCCCCCTGGCATAAAGCATTATCTCCGCTCTGTAATTAGTCCTTAGCCAAAACATAGTCCTTATATGGGCATGCATGCGAGCGAAAGCTCCATGCGGTATCCAGGTTCCCCATAAACTTAACGAAGCTTGCCATTAGCTTAGTCTGACAACACAGTTCCCAGGGAAGAAGGAAGTGTGTTGTTTCAGGCCTCTAAAGCTTCACGATATTTGCTTCTGTGTCCATTGTGCCCCCACCACTGTGGCCATCCCTTGCCTTTTCTCCTTGTTTTCCCATTGTGCAACTAATTTGGCTTGTTTTCATAACCTTCCCCATTTCCCCCTTCTCTTAATGGCCACCATTTGGACCTTTGTCTCCTCGGTTCAGCCACACTGGTTCATTTTGTTATTTTACCCTTTGCCAGAAAGAAAGCTGATTGCACTCAACACAAACACAACTCAAAATGCATCCCACTGTGGGTTTCCCAGGCTTTAAAGAACTTCAGCCAATCTTCTCTCACTCATTTCACATTCATTCACTGGTTGCTTCTCCAGAGTCCATTTCTTTGATGCAATTATTTATGTAACACTGAAACTGAACAACCGTGCTTTACTGGAGAATAATAAACTCAGTAGGAGACGAAAGGCAGAAAGGAGAGAATGAAAATCCTGCCCTCAAAGAAGAAGTGAGCGAGAGAGTACATTTTTAAAAAACGAAACAAACCTGAAATAGCCCAAGCAACACAGTTTTACTATTGCGTGTTCCCATATTCGACAAGATGGCGATTACATCTGGAAGCCTGGATCCTGTCACTGCATGACACTCAACTGGAACTTTAGAGATGCCTTATTTAAATAGCGTACCAGACCTACATGGGCCATACTGAGTAAAAGCTAAAAGATTATAAAAGGCATGTTCCATTGTAAACCAGACGTTCCTGTTCTATGGACCTTCTAAGCTGAACTTTTACCAAGGGGAGCAACAGGCAGGAGGAAGGAAGATGGACGTGAAAATAAAAATATTATTATTGGCATTGATTCTTTATTCCATCTATATCCCACCTGTTATTCTTCCATCTCGGAATTGCAGATGGCTGCCTGTGGTTCCCATGCGGTCTCCCTCCAAGCATTGACCAGGCCTGGACCTGTCTGGCTTCAACATGCTGGCCTGCCTCAGAAGCCTTCAGGGCCAAAGTTGGTGAGATACTGGTGGTCCTTCCTAGTCAGATCACCCACCTCTTGAATGGAAAGCAAACGGTGCAGAAGCCAATTCAAGGGGGAAGCATCCTGCTCGTTTTCTTGTGGAAAAGCCACTCCCACCCTCCCTTAAGGCAGGTAATTACCAGTGGACAAAATTTACAGGTCGTGGGACAACCTGCTATCCACACACACACACGGAGCAGGACTGGAATAAAAATGAAACATTGATGTTGAGTATAAAAATACGCATCAACTGGGTTGTTGGAAGGATCAAATGGGGAAGCGGAAGAGGGTTATGTAAACCTGTTTGCATCCCCTGGAAGAAAAAGGGTGGGATAGAAATGTAATAAATAAATATTATGCAGCAAATTCACATTTGTATATTTTGTCCTTACAGTGACTAATTTCCTTATGAAATGCATGAGCTCTCAAAAAAGATAAATCCATTTTTTATTTTTTTATTTTTTTTGAGGAGAGAAAAATGCCTTCAGCAGAAATGTAGTTCAATTGTGTCTCTGGATTGACTTAGAAACTAAGAGGTCAGGAAAGAGTTGCCCAAAGTCAGAAGGGAATGAATGACTTAGTTTGGAGCCATGCCCAGGAATCCTCTGGCTCGCAGCCAGTTTTTCTACTCCCCCATATTATGGCATAGTCTCCCTGGCATATTTTACATAGCTTAAATTATCTGATGAGCTACAACGAGAGCTTCATGACAAAGGGGCAGAATGAGAGAACAGTGTTAGTTGTATTTTCTGCCAAGCATTGGAAAATCAAACCGGCAAAGCTAAGAAGCCTAGTGTACATGCCAAGACCATCCATTTCTCAAGACCTGAAAGGTTAATCCATTTGCCTGAAGCCAAACTAGTCTTTCAGAAAGGACAAGGAATTAAGATTCTGGGCCTTGCGAGATGTAGGAATGGATTCCCAGCACGCACAGTGCTTGGCCACATTCCCACCATCACGAGCGGGAAGAGAAACCAGGGCGGCTTCTTTTCCTCACATGAGGTTGCACACTGCAAATCCCACAATTGCATCCATGCGGCTTATTTTGCTGTGTTGTCTGAACCCAGTGCGATGAGCAGAAGGGGGTGGCGCCCAAACCTTCCCCGGAACCTAGAACAATTCACGGGTTCTAGAGTGGTTTGCAAGCAATTCCTGTTTTGCACTTCACCAGGTTCAGATGACCTGGCAACCTATCATGGAGAGTGCAGGACGAGGAAAAGAAGCCACGTGGAGCATGTGAACTGGAATTTTAAGTTTTAGAAGCAGGGTGATCTAGTGGCTAGAGTACCGGACTGGAGCAGGGATTGACAAGGTCCAAATATCTCCCCAGTCATGGAGCTCACCGGTCTTAGACTAGCCACCATCCCTGCCTCAACTCAATTTATTTCATGGCGCATATGAAGGAAAACACATATGCTGCATGCGCTGAGTTCTTTTGAGGAAGGAACTGGTTTGCTATGATAAGTGGAAGGAAATACAAACTAACATGTAGTTAATGTTATCCCCGCACCTGAACTACTGGTTTGCAGTGAGAAATAGAGCAAACAGCAAAAGGGCACTTCTGGGTCCTGGAGCATTAAATGTCCCTCCAAATTTGCTGGACTGTCTATAAGTAAACAGCCCAGTGTAGCCAGCTGCACTTATTCTGGGGCCGTCCACGGCCCGAAACAGCCATCATTTTATTCCATGCCGGCAAGAGTCCCGACTGCAGTACACCCACCCTCTGCAAACCTTTCCCACCTCTGGGTTGAACTTGGGGATCAGATTTGGTCCATAAGACTAAGGTGATACCAAACTCAGGGAGCAGGAAACTACAGAGCCGCTGGCAGGATTTAGCGGGGCAGAGAGAACCGAGGAAGGCCTCTGCTTTGATACCCAGCAAGCACCACCCAAACCAGCGACAAGTCACGCAACAACTGGCACCATACTGAGGCCGTGGGGCTGTGTGCATGGGTGTCCTTCCCCTGCCATCATGCAACTGCTTGCACACGACTATGCGTGCTGTCGTGCGCACATGCTCTGGTGAGATTCCTGGGCACACAGGAGAAATGGGCTGTTTTGGTGGGACTGATAGCTCAGACTCAGGCCGACGTGGAGTTGGCTCAACCAGGTGAGGCTCAGAGCTCACCCCCAGATAGCAGAATTGTGGTGGTAAGAGACAGCCCGCACCTGCAGACCCCCCTCCGCAGTGCCAGTCCGGGCCTGCTCTGGATGTAAGTAGCCACGGACACTCGTGGGGCCCGGTCTCCCTCCTGCCTGTGGGGATGGAGCAGACAAAGGACGGAGGGAGGGGAGATGTGGAATTGGGTAGTCTCTCGGACGGAGAATGCCTGCCTCCTGAAGACGTGGGCCCAGGGGCCCTTCATCACAGCTGCAGCCTGGCCCAGTGGGGGGCTCAGAGGGCAGGACCCCTCCTTCCAGGGACCGGCCCCGAAGGGCTCATAAGCAAAGCTTTGGGGGAAGGGGGGCAGAGAGGGGTCAACACTTCTCCTGTGTGCTCCAAGGCTTGCGAATGTTCAGAGCTTTCTGTGTAGAATAAAGAAGCTGACCAGAAGGGCTGGAGAGACAGTCTTGCTTGGGAAGGGATGCCTAGCTCATGACCCTTGCTTAGATTAGTTGAATTCTTCCTTTCTGCTTAGCTCAGACCCTTGTTTCCACTAGAGCAACATCGTTTCCACCAGCAGGTCATCACAGCTGGATATTGCCTCTTACTTTACATGCAGTGCTTGTCCCGATCCAAAGAGAGATGATTAGCTAGGTACAAAAGAAGTGCACGCCTTCTCAGGAAGGCCGGCTCACACACCCAGAGTGGAAAGCCCAAGTGACTCATTTCCCATTCCTTCTCCAGAGCACCATCTCATCCACAACACCACCTTCCCCATTTTCCCCATCTGAGAATCGTACACCCTGACCTCATAGTGAGAACTTGTCCATCTCCTGGATGGGAAAGATACGAAAACTGATTTCCGGGCATGATGGTGCATTGGAAGAGGAAGAGGCACGAGGAGTTTCCATGTCGTATTTACCGCACGACACAGGCACATGCAAAACGGACTCGGTGCTGGTGATCCCTCCGGTGACACGGCAGCTACCACAGAACCTGCATGGATTGTGCTGCTAGTTCCCTGTGGATGGTATTTATTTTAACTTGCAATTCTGCACTACACTTCTATACCTCTGCAAGAAGATCTAAGAATAGAAGGTGTTCTGTAACTGATGATCTTCCCTTCAAAGATAGCATACAAGCTTGCAGCTCTAACTTATTTTGCACTGTTTCTAGGTAGGTACAACTCACAAGAGCCTATCTCTATTTTCCAGAAGGCTCCACTGCCTGTCCTTCCAAGACTGATCCCTGTCCTCAGGCTTTAGGTCCATGAACGTTTCTGCCAAAATAAAGTCGTTGGCCTTCAAGATGCCGCAAGAGAGTTTTGCTTTGCTGGAGCCAACGTTATGCTTGTTCCAGTCCATATGCTCTCAACCAGGTTTCGGACTGAAAGCTGTAGTACCCCAAAACTACAAGTGCCAAGACTTCATACCTCTCCATTTTCAGAATTCTTATGTTTTAATTGAGTTGTGAGGAGTGAGGGCAGGAAGGGAGGAAAATTGGATTTATTTCAGTGGGAGGCAATTAGGCATATACTTAGCTTCCTCGTGGAAATGCATTTGGCTGGAGCAGGGGTTCCCAGCTGCACCCACAAAGCCAGGCTGAGGAACCTCCCAAGCCATTTCTGCTCCTCCTATAAGCTTCATAGGCTTGTAGAGGGAGCAGGAAAGCTCACCTGGCAAAGAACAGCTGGGGGTACATCCCCTATAGAGGGCAGCCCCACCAAGGATGCTTGCGGTCCCAGGGTCTTTGGTGGTAGGTGGGTTTCATCTTCAGCCAGCTGAATCTTTGGCCATGGGCTTTTTCTTATCCCATGCAAATGAGTGCAGGAATTGTCCTACTCGGTTGAAGGGTGAGGGAGAGAGGGACAGAGAAGGAGGGGCCGGACAGGGAGAGATGCCCAGGAAACTTGTTCAGAATGACAAACTGCCCATTGGCCCAAAATTATTGGAGACCTCTGGGCCACAGTTGTTGTTTGTTAATCTAATAGTTCTGCTGTCCAAGCTTGGCTTCCTTTCTTTCCTTCAGCTTCCTTCTCTCTTCACCCCTCTGAGGTCTAATCTTCCATTCAGTGATAAAGTTACTACCGTCCTTTGCATAATAAGCTGACTGACACATTGTTTTTGAAGGAATAACCGACCACATCCTTTTCTCAGTATTCAGTCCTGGCTGTGATTTTTTGCTGTTCATAGGAAAGAGACACTTACTTCCTGAGTTCTGTCTTGCTCTCGGTGGCGTGCTGGCTCCCGTCTTCTTCACAGTTGGTGATCTCCAGGTTTCCGTATCTGAATTCAACAGAAATAAACACATTCCAGACAATGATTAAAAATAAAAAGTTGATAGCCATGCCTGAAAGCGGCATTTTAAGAACTGGTAAAAACTCACAATGTCTGTAGTCACTGAAGGTGCAACCTCCATTAGGAGAACTAGCTAGCGCACTCAATTTGCGAGATTCAATCAATCTGTGAAATTCAGACCCTCCAGCTACTTCTTGGTGCTCATCATTTCTTATTTCTTTACGGTTATCCTATCATAAGCTGCATTTCCTTCCACGGAACTCTGATAGATGCAGCAGTCCTTCCAGGTTCTAGACCTGGGAACGCTTCTCACCCCACGACTGATTCAGTCGTCAGTTCTCCAAACCGCTCTTGCCCATTCATCTCCTCCCCGCAGCTCCCCTGAGCCCTGCAGGAGGGTTGGTCTCAGTCCAGCTCTCTTCCTGGTTCGCTTTTGCTGAACGGGCCTCCAATGCTTTGCCTTTCCTTGGGTCCTTGTTCTTCAGCCCACTGCCTGGCCTATTCTACTTCAAACAAGCTTCGTAGGCCTTGACCAATTTCTTTTGGAGTTCTGTCTCCCTTGGACTTCCTCCACAATAGCACAAAGCTCTTCCTGATCAATGGCACAACTAGGCAATTTTAGACCATATGGCAAGACATAGGACCTCATGTGAGAGGTGCACAACTTATATTCTTCCCCGCTGGCACGGAATCATCGTCTCATGATTTACAACTGCTTCCACATTCCTAAGAGATTGCCCTGAGGGGAAAAATACACCAAGCGCGCACAGTTTTGCATTTTAAATGCATCTTAAATTACAGTGCCATCTCAGCTTCAGTCATAAAATGGAGTTCACTTCTGCTGCTTGGATAAGAATCATTTGATTGTAGAACAGGATATGAAAAATCTTGCAGAAGTAAGGATAATAAAATGAGCACCTGTAATAAGTATCTTTAGACCTGTCCAGCTGCATGGCATACTGAGCATCTTTAAAAAGAGGAAGGAAGCTGCAAGGTCTGGCATGGCTGCTTCCATCCCCAGTGCTGGCTGCTTTCGGGGTCTTTGAGAACCCGCCACAGAGCTTGCTTCATCTGCGCCTGTGCCCCCGAGACTTGTGATCTATGACCTGCCTCCTGAGATCTTGCCTCAGCCTGCGTACCGGAAAGCATTTCCGGTGCAAGTTTTAATCCGAAACAAATCAACAACTGGCATGCAGCTAGACACAATGACTCATTGGTTGCCAGAGCAGTGGAAATGTTCGAGAAATTTCAGCTGATGCGTGCCATGGGCTTACACCATCCCAAATGCAATGGTTTTCACACCAGGAGCCAGAAGAGAAAATGTAAGCCGAGCCTGGAATGTAATTTTTAAAGTTCTTGTTTTTATGACCAATTTGCATCTTCAGAAGAAAGTGAATGGTTATTGGCAGAAAGCTCTACATGTGAATCCAGCTTCACATACTCTAGATTTCATACAATAAAACAGATAATGCAACTAGTCCCTCAGGAATTCTAGATTTCACGCAATAAGACCCGATCATGTAACTAGTCCCTCAGGAATTCATGCCACTTTATGTATAGAATCTAGTTTATTCTGTTCAGAAGGCTCCAAGTAAGTGTCAACCTTAGGGGAAAAAAAACCACTCGCATAAAATTAGAGTTTGAAATCCAAGGTTAAAATCTTGCCCCATTTAGAATGGGATTTTAAAAGCCAGTCAGATCTGCCATTATTAGCAATTAACCCATGACTTTGAGGAATGATGAACTTGGTAGGTTTTTAAACCAGTGCAGCCTATGAATGAACTAGTATATTTGTACGTTAATATTTTCATTGCCATTGATACTTTAATGCCTTTTAAAATTATTAAATAATACAGAGTTATCCATTTTGTACTTGCAAATACTATGCCATGGGTGTATGGTGATGATTTAGTTCTTTACCAATGCAGCCCTCTCCACCTTTCCGTTTTGGAAAACGCTTATACAGGTTGCAACCACCTCCTTTGTGTTGTAAACTCACTTTAATTGTTAACCATATTTGCTTATTTATCTGGCCAGGGCGACTTCTTTTATATTTTATATTTTTTTTATTTTATATTGTTAATTTTAATTTTATATTGTTATTTTTGTATTTTATTGTGTTTTATTGTGTTTGTTAGCCACCCTGAGGCTTCGGCAAGGGGCGGCATAGAAATGTTATAATAATAATAATAATAATAATAATAATAATAATAATAATAATCTGCCAACCTCACACTGGGTGCGAAGCAGGTTTAAACCTGACCCTGGTCCTTCTGAGTCTTGATCAGGTGCCCGTCCGAACACAGAAATCAGAATCTACGATTTCCAAATCACGTGCAGAGGATGAAATAAAGCAAAATGGCCCCCCTTTGCTTTTGGCCTTCCAGCCATTTAAAGGAGGAAAGTACTGCACTTTGCCGCATTTGTACATGAAAGGAAGAACACAATACGCAGTCAGAGAAGTCGTGTTCTTAAAACCATTACATGGTACAGAATTTTACAAATTAAAATAAACATAGTCTGCATGAAACGATTGCTTCGGACAAAAGGGATTTGCCGTGTTTCCTTGATAAGGGTTATTTTGTCCAGTTGCTCTGGGGAGAGCAGCTTATCGGGTCTGCTGTGTCATGTGTGAAGCAGGCCCTCAGATCCATCAGGGTTAGGCAGAGATGAGACAGAATGTCTGAAGGCTCAGCTCAGAGGCAAGACTGCTTGAGGGCAGTGCCGCTCACCCGCTGTCGCAGCAACTTCCCCCCTCACCTGTTACTCCAGGGTCAACAGGAGACATTTGTCCTGTGAGTTCGCGGCAAACGACAGCTTCGCACAGGACAGATGGGTTGCCACCTGTGCGATCGTAGATCTCTCCCCTGTGCCCTTCAAGTGGCAATTTTGCAACTTTATTTTGATGGTTGAACACATTTTAAATCTGCAGAAATGTGCAAGTGGGCCATTGTACTTTCAGAAATACAATTTATAAGTTGGACAGTGCTCCAGAAATACTGGGAGGAGGGAAAAGACTGATGACTGAACGAACTTTCAAACTTCTCTCACTTGGCTGACAAAGATGAGTGGACACCCGGTTTTAGGGCACAGTGGTACACAAGCTTAGACGGCAAGACAGTAACAGCCTGTGCCTTAATTTCATCACATATGTGCTGACAGAAATTGCAAAAAGAAGACAGCAGGTATCTAGCCAGAATTTTTGTGTGATGAGGGGATCAATCTGAAATAACAGACACCTAAACAGAAGTCTCTGCTCATGACCAGAGTGATGCTAAACACCCTTCTCACAGAAGCAAGTCCCACTGAATTCAGCCAGAATTAATCTAGGCCAAGCAAGCACAGCCTTGCAGCCTTAACTGAGCCACTTAAATTCAGTGAGATTTGAAGGGCCTGCAGCCCATGCTGCTCTAAGTCCTAGATCCATCTTCCCCATCAGGGCACCCTCCAGATATGCTGGACCGCAGCACTGGACTGCAGCTCTCTTAATTCCCAGCCAGTACAGGTATTTCGGGAAGGCTGGCCTTGATCCTAATGCAACCAGTAAGAGGGGAGATACCTATCTAGCAGCAAAGCCATGCTTGGGCTCCACCAACATCAAACCACAACTTTATCGGGGAAAAGCTGATCTTTCACCCAGCTATGCAACAAGCGATGGAGAGGCATCTAAGCTGAAAAGAGGAATGGCACTACTGCAGAGGCGGAAATAATCCTGAATTCTTTCTCAAAAAGCAGTATTTGGATTTTCCATCAATAAAAAGGAATGTGTGTCGGGACAGGGGGCCAGCTAGCAACAGCAGCACTTGCCCCAAACAGTCCTCTTATGTGGCGTGTTTTCCTACAGAATTGGATCTCACATTCAGCTTGTGATTTCTTAATTTCGACATAGAATGTTATCCTTTAGGCAAAGGCACTTTGTTATGCATTCCCAACTGTACTCATGACACCTCAGGAGAAGGCAAGACTCCCTGGGCTTTGCATGCTGGGGAAAGTCAATGGCAGAAGAAGAGGACCAGGGATGAGGTGGGTGGGCTCCATCAGGAAGCCTCGGCCTTGAACTTGGAAGAGCTGAGAGGAGCCGTCACAGAGAGGGCTTTTTGGAGGGCTTTCATCGAGAAGCTGGAGCGGACTAGACACCACCTAACAACACACTGTTGAAACGTACTTTGTGACGCTAAAATAAGTAAAATTTGCAGCACGTCACTCCTTGGCTGTCCAGGAAGAGACAATCTGCTTATAGCTCCAGTTCTTCATCACTTTAGGGCATAATTCAATGCACATTTCCACAAAAATAAGCCCTAAGCTCCCAGGACTTTCCAGGCAACTGACGCTGAAGGGCATTTTTCACCTGTGTACATTGGGAAATACTAGTGTTGCATCTGCTTGCATGTTCTGCCTTCTAACTCAGATCTCATCCTCTCTCAGGAAGTTAAGTGTGTATAATAGAGGTACTGTGAGCTAAAGGGAAGATTCTCTGCACTGGCTGAAGTTCAGAAATCTGGTGTGGCAGATTTGGGACAGACAATATGAAATACTGCATAAATATTAACCATTTTCAATATATTCTGTTAGTTCAAGTCCAAGGTACATATGGAAATGGTCAGCATTTTCATTCTAATACATATTTTTTCGGGGCTTAATGGTATCTTTGTGACATTTCCCACACTGTCTCCTAAGATATTTTTGTTCCACAAAACATCTGCAGCTCAGCATCATGAACTTCATTATCTCTTTAAGTTCAAAGCTATAAAATTCTTAGGTAGTCCATAATATTCAAAAGAAAGCATCCCAGGATGAGCTTTGATTTTGTAACATGGATGAAATAGAAAAAGCAGTGATGTGCTAGGATTTCCTGTGGATTGTAATGTTTATTATGAAATTGTAAAAAGTGCTGTTTCTATACACCATATGCATCTAGCATTTTTCACAAGCGGTATGTGCATCAAACAGATCAGAAGCGAATTTGAAAAGCACATGACATCCTGCTCAACTCCTTTTATAGCATCCCATCCTCTTCTGGCACTTGCGTCTCCTGTTATTGCTTTCTCTCAGCTGTGTGTGTTTCATATTGTGATCTTACTTTTATTATATATAAAAATTATGTATGTTGCCTAGAGAACTTTAGACAGTAGCCTGGAAAGATCATATCTAAATTAACAAGCTTACCTTCTGCATTTCTTGCCACTTAAGATTCTTCTTAATTCTCACAATACTATTGACACTAAATTACTGTAACATGGTCTTCCTATTTTGATCTTCAATTACTTTCCCCCGTTTATATTTGTTCTGCTCGCTTGGTTTTTCTTGTGTCTCCTGTTATCCATACTTTCCTTCTTTTTCTCTGTTCTACATTGGTGTCACTATGTTCGACACCGGAGGCAACATACCCTGCTTTTGAATATCTTCACATTCTTTCTCCTTTATCTTTTTGCTCTCTTCATGCCCAGCCCCCCATTCTCTACCTTCTAAAGGTACTTTTAACTTCTCAGAACACAAATCTCACCCATTATCTGCTTTGTAACCCCTTTTCTCTCCCTGTGTCTTATCTCTGGAATGCCTGCCTGCTTCCTCAGATTAGGACATCTCCATCAGTTTTGGTTTTAAAACTCTATTTGAAGAAATATCTGTTCTCCCTAGCTTTTATCCATTCATTCATTTCCTCTCCTTTCTTTTTGTGTCCCTCCGCTTTTCTCTGTCTTTTTGTCTGTTTGACTAGAAGTCTGTGGGAAGGGCCTGTCTTTTAAACTGCACTGATTGTACAAGTGCTCTGTTTCAAAGGAACTTTATGAATATTATTGTGGGTTCTTACAATTAAGGAATTTATCATACCCTGATTGACAATAGGTTACAGGCAGGGTCTTCAGGAGCCAAATAATATTGATCAAGGATGGATCTGGCCAACAGGTTGACAACTAAGAACAGATACATTGGATTGTATCCAGCCCATGTAATTTAATCACAAATATGTTTGATCTCATTTCCATATTAGTCTGCATATCATTCTTATTTTTAAATACATGTAGAGTTGTATGCAGCGCTGGTCTGACTTAATCCCTACAGAACCTACAACATTCTGCATTTAAATTGAATATACATTTTCCTAAAGTGTGATTTTAGCATGCATTTCCTCCTAAAGTACAGATTCTTCTACACATTTTTCAGCTGAAAACTGCACTGCAAAATTCATGGAAGAATAGCTGCATTCCAATCTGCATTTCAGTCTGGGAAGTGCAAATTAGGTTCGCTTTAAAATGAGGACCAAACAAAACCCTTCAGCATCCTTACTAACGCCCAGATGTCCCAGCCCGACAATGTAACATGAAAGTCCAAAAGCACCTACCAATACCAATAAATGTGCTTGCTTCTTGGAGTGATTATCCTTATTCATTGATATTTACAATGTTTGCATATTCCCAGCAAAATCTTATGCTTCTTTAATAGGCATAAGTCCCACTGTGTTTAATGGGGCTTGCCCAAGTACATGTGTACTGCAGTCTGAGACGATTTAATGCAGTCTCAAAGACTTTAATAAACCACAGCCATTAATAGCACATATGTGTGAGAAGCAGCACCAGAAACTACTTCTGGAATAAAGAACACTATACTCTCCACAAACTGCAATACGCTCAGTTTTCTGATCTGGACAAGGGCTTGTAACATGCAAATTTAGGTTTCTATCAGGAAACAGAAGCTAAACTATTATTGCTCATTCCTGGAAGACTAGAGGATGTTGAAGAATAGTTGTGGAAGTTACAGGCATTTCAGATACTGACACAGAGAAAATCCCCACTCCGTAGTGCAGAAGTTTAAGAGAAGCTATTTGTAAAAATAACTTTCTATGATTTACAGTATTGAGATTTGGATAAAGGTTGTAACATTATTTCTCTTTTTCATACAGTCTCTGCATAAAACAAGTAGTGGGAGGGAATAAAATAAAATAAGCAGAATAAGCTTGTATAGAGAATTCTCTAGTCACATGAACAGATGTGACCCCTTGGTGGAAGCCATAACAAAAGGAACCATCAGCAGCGCCTCCAATGGCTAGCATGAATTAACCTTTAGTTCTGCTTCCAGTGGCCACACAGCTGCAGCCCCAGCTTAAGCGTACGACTTCACGATTTCAATTTCTTGGTAACTGAAAGCTCCACGGACACATGCTCCCTTTGGTTCGCACCCAAAGCAAGCAAAACCACAATTTTTGCAAGCTTAGAGAGGTTCTTCTCCAGCAACTGACTCTTTTCATCTCTCCACTGACAGCCCTTAAGCCCCTGACTGAAGGGAGTGACTGTACTATATATAGTCTTGTGCTTTGTGAAAGTGCTGGATGGACAGTCTGCAAGCTGATGTTCTTTGTTAAACTACAAAGCAGGAAGAACAATGAACAGCTGCAGAACAAGCCTCGCTCTGCCACCCCCGATTCTGTGCCTCAGCCAGCCATGGCTAAAGCAGACTTCCCTACAGGAAGCTCAACCTTGCTCCAGACTCCATACGAATCGCTCCCCTCGCACTGCAACCTAAGATGCCTTCAAAAGGAAAGCGAAAACCGCAACTTGCAATGGCAATTCTTTCTTAACAGTGGCCTTTTCTGCGAAGCTTTTAAGGTTGTGGTTGCTGTTATTTTTGCTTTTAAAATCGTATTCAACTCTGGATTTACAGTACAAGCCACAGGAAATCACATGGATTCTGTGAAGCTGACCCAGCAGGCTGTCAGGATTTAGTTATCCTTTTGGACATGGGACCACAGTGCTTGCTGCAAAGGACAAAATGACACCACTGTGTTTTCCTTGCACTGTTTAGCTTAACAGCTCTTCAGAGAACAGGTGCAGGACACAAAGATGCTAATTCCCTCAAAAAGAATATTCATTTTTGGATTTCCAAAGTAACAGTATATTTGCAAGTAGTTTAATATTAGCATGTAACCAGTAAACATGTAGCCTGAAGTGCCTGATCCTGCCTAATCTTGGAAGCTAAGCAAGGTCCGGCCCGGGCAGAAGTGGGATGGGTGACTTGAGTGTATGATTCTATGATTATTGCTGTCAACTGCCTAGTGAGCTTTGGCTATGGGCAGTATAAACATTAATAATAATAATAATAATAATAATAATAATAATAATAATAATAATAATAAAAAACATGCCCAGGAATACTTAAGTATGAATGTAGTTTGCCATGTTCACATCCAGACAGAAAGTGTAATTTTCGGTTTCATGCGAGACAACAATATGTCTATGAGAGAGTCAGACTGAAAACCAGTTAAACACCCTTTCTAAACAGCAGTCAGATGGGAAGCCTGGAAGACAGCTGGGCAGGGGTTTTATGGATGGTTCACAAAAACATGGCAAATGGATCTGGCTGAGAAACAGTCGCTCTCATGGGGCTACCAAACCATAGCGGTTTCATGCCACTTCCAATGCTACCACCGCCCCCAAAGAATTCTGGGAACTCTGGCTGCTAAGAATGCTCCATTGGGGATCACAAAGAGAGTACGGGGCAGAAAGACGTCAGCTGCCTTCTTTCCTGGGGAAGAGGGAATTGTGTGCTGGAGCTCAATGGATCTACCTCTCTGCTCAGCATGGCTTGCTTGTGAAATGCTAAAGGCAGCCCTGCCTTCTCCATACCACATGCGCTTGTTCAGACTGCCATGTCCCAGCTAGTTCTGCTCCAGCTCCCCAACAGCAGTCGCATTCTTGCTGGGCTTGGTGCCTGAAGATCAGGCCCATCCCTGGGAAAGTGTATGTAGGATTTCAGGCAGCAAAGCCATCATGGTTTAGACGGAAGTATCTCCCACTGAGTTCACTGGGGCTTGTTCTAACTGGGCATGCCCAGGATTTTGGATTTTGCCATCTGTCACTTTTGCAACGGTGCTGACAGGCAGGTCCCTGTTCCTATACTGGAGGAGCCAAGGTTGAGATACGGAGCATGCCTTTCTTGGGCCTGGGCATCCCACAGGGGCAAAAATGCCAAAGGTCAGGCTCTGAAAGGCCCATTCTGGCCCTAATCTGGAGTTAGAATTAATCGATTCACACCTGGAGAGAAACCAACTGGTTCCACGCCATTAGGCTCTCTACAGGTTGCTGTTTTAGGCAAGCAATGACAAATTCACCCCCTACCACTGTCGCCAGCAAGCTCCTAGACAAATGTGTGCATGCACAACAAAGGAGTTTAAAGAGTTAAAAGATAAAACACACTTCTATTTAATACAGTTAAAAAGGAAAAAAGATGGAAATAAATACACAAGTGCAATGCACACAGACAAATCAAGCGTTGTCTTCTAAACTCATGGCTGGAATCTTAACAGCCAATCTACTGAAATCTCATTCACGATTTGATGATTGATTATGTAAAGAATTGCAGCTATTTCATTATCACCAAACCAAAAATGCAGATTATGCTGACACTCAGACTTATCTATCATAACTTATCACTCTCTTTAGCGTGAGCTTTGAGGCAAGTTAAAAATATGAGGATATTCATTGACAAAATGAAAATGGGGGCAAAAACTAGCAGCTATGAAAGGACTGGGTCTGGAATCTTCCCTTTATTTATTTGATTTTTCTTTTAGTACCATGTGGGCTAGAAACTTGTACTTTGCATTTCATATAAAATCTGAGATTGTCAGGATGCTAAATGCCAGATGGCAAGTGTGAATCTTGCACTGTGAAGCCACGCAGGCATGAAGTGAAGCAAACACAGAACCAAAATGCAGGCCTTTCCTTTCAAATTGCCTTTTCACAGCCAAGTAGGTCAGAAATAACTAAAAAACCCCTCCAACATCATCTTGTAAGCCAAGCCTACAAACGCATGTTAGTAAAAATGATTTTCCTCTCCCCAAGCCAAGGAATCTTACCTGTCAAGGAGCAGCTCAAGAACTTCTTTTGTAGATGCAAAACCCCTGTAGGTTGACAGAAATATGCTAATGTAGGTGAAGTCATTGTCCCCAAAAGCCGTCAGCAGGTTCTCTACAAGTTTCTCCAGGGTACCAGCTTTGATGGTCCTGATCTTGCATGTCTCATATTGACTGACGGTATGGCCTGCGGGGAGTTGGTCCCCTTCAACCTGTTCGAAAAACAATAAAAAGGGAAAGGGAAATTAATCACCTGGACAAGAGAGGAAGTCACTGAAACCAAATAAGCTTTTCTCCGGCAAGGCTAGGAATGGTCTGAAGACACAAGGCTCGGCTTCAGCGGATTGAAGAGACCCGACACAGTGCAATGATCACAGGTGTCGTGTGCGCACTTGGATGCGATTCCCAGGTGTGCACGAGAGATTTATTTATTTATTTGGAATACTTATATGCCGCCCCATTTGCAAAAGCCTCGGGGCGGCTTCCAATACAAATAAATAGCTATACAAATACATTAAAAACTGGAAACATCCCGGCATAAATATAAAATCAATAAATAAATTCAACAATTAAAATGACGTTTAAATAAAAAGGTCTTGGCCTGGCACTGAAAAACAAATAACGACAGCGCCAGGCGGGCCTCTCTGGGGAGCGCATTCCATAAGAGATGGAGAGTTTTGGTGGAGTGGCACCCCAGACTCGGAGGACGGGAGGGGAGAGCTGACCCAGCCGTTCCTCAAGTTGCTGGGCTCCAAATCTTTAAGTCAGTCTTAGAGACGCACCAGGTCCAACCCCTGTGTCCCACCAACACACAGAAGACTACATTCCACCTGGCTCAAGATCCTGTGCAGCCCCATATAATGCGTATTATGGCAGGCTGAGCACCGCAGCGGCCTGAATCTCTTAGACCAGTGGCTTTCAACCTTTCCACAGCTGGGGACCGGTGAAAACAGGAAAACCACCTCGGGGCCTACTGAGGCAGAAACAGAAAGCACCATACACATAATACAGTATTCTGCGTAGTAGTTTCCCAGCACAGTACCAAAAAGAAAGAAAGAAAATTCTCCAAAAGAACCAGAAACCGAGCAACAAAAAATGCCAACAGAAGAACAAAACATTGAAATTGGCACAGCGTGGCTCCTAGACGGCTCCCACTGAGCCATCTCTCCCCTCCCTGTCCCCCCCCCCGACACACCAGTGCACTCCCACAGATGCAATGCCAACCAAGGAAGAGGTGGTGGAACACAGCCGGTCCCGCCACTGGTTCATGGTGAGCAGGATGCGGCCCTCCCACAGAAATCTCCCATGGACTGGCACCAGTCCAGGGACTGGCGGTTGAAAACCACTCACTTAAACAAGGCCCTGCCTCTCCAAGTGCAGCTTAAGCCATTAGAAAAGCACCCTGAGAAAATATACTTTTAATATCTTATTTGTTTATTTGTTTATTTGTTTATTTTTATTTAAACCATTTTGATGCCGCCCCATTCGCAAAAAGCCTCGGGGCGGCTTACAGCAATAATAAATAAGCATAAATAAACAGTTTATACAATTAGAATTAAAAAACCGGAAACATCTCGGCATGTACATAAAAACCCCATAAATACAATTCATAAATTAACAATTAAAATAACTTTTAAATAAAAATATCTTCTTTGCATATCATGGGTTTTGCTCCACCCCAAAGTTACACTGGGACTGCAGGTGGCGCAGTGGTTTATACAGCTGAGCTGCTGGGCTGGTTGATCAAAAGGTCGCTAGTTCCAATCTGCACAACAGGGTGAGTTCCCGTTGCTCTGTCCCAGCTCCTGCCAACCTTGCAGTTCGAAAGCATGCAAATGCAAGGAGATAAACAGGTACCACTTCAGTGGGCAGGTAACAGTGTTCTGTGCCCTTCGGTGTTCAGACATGCCGGCCACATGACCACGGAGACCGTCTGCAGACAAGCGCTGGCTCCCTCGGCTAGGAAACGGAGATGAGCACCGCCCCCTAGAGTCAGGCATGGCTGGACTTAACGTCAAGGGGAAACCTTTACCTTTAAAGTTACACTGGCTTATCTTCAGAAAAGGAGGATTGTATGGAGGTTGCCCCCCACATATCCTCCAAAAATGAAACTAACCTTGGAAAGGAAGAGACAGAAATACAAGCACTGGTGAGGAGGATGTCAAAATCAACACAGGCTAGAAAAGCACCGGATTTGACACACCACATACCTATAACAAAGACTTCTTGAAAGCATCTAAGTGTAAACTACGCAGATATAAACCTAAATAGTCTCTTGGTAGGAGATCATTCAGACGCTAATGTAACACTTAAATAAACACAATTCTTATTATTCTTTTTCAAATATTTCAGAGTTCTCAGGGGTGATGTTCAGTTCTGATGCCCCAGATGCATTCCAGGTGTATGGACTATATTCTCCTTTTTTCATACACCTTACAGCTACCAGATACTGTATTTCCCCATTCCAGTTTCCATTTATTGTTCAGAAGGCTTTAACCAAAAGCCATACGGAGAGAAAACGTCTTTAAAATCCGAGAGCTGGCAAAAAGTTGAAAGCTGGTGTCAAGAGAGTTCAAAATTCTTGGAGGTTACTCACAATCAAAGCTCAGACAGAATGAAGGCCAGAATTTAGGGAAGGCAGCAGTATGTTCAAGAGGTCACCTGCAGGGATGTGTGTGGAATCAGATTCATGGGTAGGAGCCTGTCAAATTTTCTCAGCTTGGCTCTTCAGACTCCAACCCACTTTCTCTCTTTCCTGAGTCTGCTTCCTGTCAAGTGTTTGTGGATGTGAGTTCAAGCCAAGTTCTGTTTCATGTTCAAGCCAGATTCGTAACCCCTATTGTGGATATGAAGCTACTGTTTGGAGCAAACATGGAGCAACAATGGTTTCCAAGAGGCAAAGGTGTCCGACAAGGATATATTTATTTCCTTAGCTGCTTAATCCATACACAGAACATATTGTAAGAAAAGCTGGATTAGGAACAGAGGAAGGTGTGAAAACTGGTGGAAGAGACATCAGACATTTATGATATGCAGGTGATAATTGTATTACCAGCAGAAAGCAACAATGACTTGAAAGCGATGAAACTACAAAAACAGGACTGCAGCTGAACGTTGAGAAAACAAAAGTGTGACTAGAGAACTGCACAACTTAAAGGTCAACAATGAAGGACTTGAAATTGTGAAAGTCTTTGTAGATCTTGGCTGAATCATCAATTCAAATGCAGGCCTCCACCAATACATTGGAAGAGGATTCAGATTTGGAAGGGCAGCAATGAAGGAACGAGAAAATACCATCAAGTGAAAGGAAGTTTCACTGGAGAGCAAGGGCAGGATTATCCATATTAGTATATTCCTGATCACTATGTAGGTATGTGAAAGGTAGACCATACAAAACGCTGAAAGGAGGTGTTTGAAACATGGTACGGGAGAAGAAATGAGCAAATACTGTAGACTGACGGGAAGATGAACAAATGGATCCTAGCTCAAACCAAGTCAGAACTCCCCCAGGAAGCAAAAATCGCAAAACGGAGGCTGTCCTACTTCAGAAACATCATGAGAAGGCAAGACTCGCTGAAAAAGACAATAATACTAGAGGAAGTTGAAGGCAGAAGAAGAGAAAGACCAAATATGAGATAGATAGGAGAGAGGACTTGAAGGCATGTAACTACAAAAAGGGGGATGAATGGATTTATAAGCTGAACGTATTCATTTTATTTGTCTTCCCTGCAGAAGATCTAGGACAGATGCCTATTTGAAGAGAGTCTGAGGAACTGAGGCAAATAGTGATAACAAAAGATTTCCTTGGCCTTACTGTAAAATAGAAAGTTAATAAGGCCCAGGTGGTATTCATACTAAGATTTTTAAAGAATGCAAACATGACATTCCTGATTTTCTATCAATATACTATCATGTCCCTAAGATCAACCTCTGAACCAAAGGATTGCAAACTGGCCAGTATAACACCAATTTAAAAAAAAAAGATTCTGGGGAGATCTGAGAAATTACAGTCCAGTTCGTTTAACATCTATTCTAGATAAATTGGCTCAAAGCATTAGTAAAGATAAAATTAGTAAGTGTACAGAAGGACCAGTCCTAGTGAAAAGGAATCAGCATGGCTTCTTTAGGGTAAGTCCTGTCTCTCTAACCTTTCACAGGTTTTTGAGTTCAGTAAACATGTGGACAGAGGTGTTTACTTGGACTCCTAAAAGGCTTTTGACCCTCGCCAAAGATTCCTGAGCAAACTTAGGAGCCATGGAATAAGAAGAGGGGTGAGAAGGGGAGGAGAAAAAAGTGCAGACAGAAACTCAGAGAGAAGATGGAGGTAATAAGAGAATACTGAATGGTGCGGGCATTTTCCAGATCTCCGCTGGTTAATGTATCCAATGAGATTAGAGCTGATGACAAGATAGGCATGATTAGGAATGCACGTGTGTGTTTTTCTTATCAGCAAGGGGTTATAGAAGGGAAAACATTTTTTAGCGATGAGATCTAGAAGACAATCGTGGCCCCCCTAAGGGGACTCCACTTACATTTAGACTGCAAAAGACCACAGTGCATCAAGAATAACCCAAAAGAGAAAGGCTGAATGACCTCAGCACTGCTTATTTCTCTGATTTCTTGTATCAAGATGGAACGGGAAGTCTTTGGGCCTTTTCAGTTGCCGAAATACAGGCACTGTAGCAAGACCCAAAGCTGCTGCTCAGTGCATCTTCCCCAGGAACACAACCTGTAATCGTGGCCCTTTCTCCACTTCACTAATTTCTGCGCAAGCCTCCGCAGCGTAAAGTTGTCGTGGCCCACAGCTCTTGCCACAAAATTTGCAGCCATTTGTGACGTTATTGTTTGAAGACTGTGGCTCTCTACATAAACATAGAAACAGGGCGAGTCAGAAGGGGCCTCCCGGGCCATCTAGTCTGACACCCGGCTCCAGCCGGCTCCGGTCATGACATGCCCAGCATGGGGTTGTCCAATCTTTCCTTGAACACTGATGGGGCCTCAGCCATAAAAATGGAATGTAGAGAATAGTGGTCCACATTTACTATGTTATGAGCTAATTTGAACAATTACGTGTCAGTATAACAAACCAAAATAGGAATAAACAATTTACTTGCGCTCTTTTCTCTGGGCAGGAGGAGGAAGCACGCCACTTCAAAGAGCTAGCCACTGGCAACAGCAAGCCATGTGACAAGGCTGCCAACATGGAGACGGG